GTTATATTATTGTAAATATGTTATTTTGTTATTGTTGTTCATGTAACGAAAAAAAAGAAAAACCCACGAGAAGCAAACAGTAGCTGAACAACAAATAAACCGTGTCTTGAGTCTTTATTTATCATATTGATGTTCACGTGCTGATGTCGAGAACGAATGAGAGACTGAGAGAGGGTGATACCGATTCCGATGTAAAACAATGGGAGTGAAAGCAGGGGCGTCGCTAGACCTTTTTTTCAGTGTGTGTGTGTGGGGGGGGGGGTGTAGAGGCCACCAATTACCGACAAAACTAACCACCAATCACCGACAAATACGGTCTACAAATTTAACCCTATAAACCCGGGGCCGAAAGCTCAGTAAATAATTTTTCCTATGCACTATCTTTCCTATGCACCAACTTTCCTATTTCCTCGACGACATATACATATACGATATATTTCGTCAACTTAGTCAGCATATTAGCCAGGCACGTATACCCCCCCCCCCTTAATTTGTTTTCAATATTTAAATATATATATATATATATATATGTGCTGAAGGAGGCAAAACACAAAACGTGTTCCTCCTTCCCCCCCCCCCCCCCCCAGCCACTGAACGAAATATCTGACGACGTAATTGTCCAATTTCCGCCCCCCCCCCCCACCCCCGCAAAAAAGCGACATCTCAATGATTCCTTTATATTTTTTAAAGGTAAAGACCAGTATTGCAATTTCAAAAAATGAAATGGAAGCTCTCATTACCAATCATGTGAGAGAATATGTTTTGACTAATACATGATGATAACAAATTTGCCGGGAAACCGCCTACTAATTCATATATTTGGTAAATTTGTTTCTCTCATGGTCTGTGAGAGATATAGGGTAGTCCCATATACATCTTTCTGTGTATAGTGCTTGTAACTTTATGAAAAATGGGCCAAATTTCTTATCATTTTGATGATTCCAGAACCTTGCAAATGCTAGATGCTAGATGATCAACCTTTTCTGATCGATTCCACAACGTTTCTTTCACAATGCAATCGCATGACCATAACTGGTCTTTACCTTTAATGAAAAAATAAAAAAATAATTAACAAAAAATGGGGGGAAAATAATTTTAGACAAAAATTAAAATAATTTTTAACAAATCCGCCCGCCTTCCCCTACTCCAGAAAAGCAATCGAGGAGAATCATTTTTTTGTTTTGTTGGGGGGGGGGCTTTAGCGTGCGAATCACTTAAAGGGCCATTCTAACCAAAAAATGAAAATGAAATGACGGAGATTCCGAACATGATAATGATTTTTCTTAGAAATCATGAATAATTCTGGAATCTAGCTTTAAAAATGACCGACTCAGAACGCTTGGGAAAAAGCCCAGTTTTGGAGCTGTATCGCGCAATAGCACACTGACGTCACTGCAGGAGCCTCTCCGGTGAAAAGAGGGTGATTTAGGCATTACAAAATTTCCCTTCCCCCTTTTTTTCATTTTCCCGAGGGCAGCGCAATTTTATCGACAATATCCTGACAGGTGCGGGATGTCGCACCCCACATCCACCCCTTCTTTAGCGACTCCCCTGAGTAAAAGCGAGAAATGGAAATAACTTGAAATGCTGATTTAAAAGACTGAAATGGGAGAGAAAATGGAGAGTGAGATAAAAAGGAACAGAGAAAAGGATTGGAGGAGGAGGAATGGTTTAAAAGGTATGCCGCGAGGGGGAATGAACTGGGGGGGGGGCACTCGTTTTTTCCGAAGGTTCGTTTTTTTTCGAGGGTTCATAATTCCGAAAATGAAAAAGGGTTCATAATTCCGAACATTTTTGGCATTATTACAAATTTCGTTATTCTGAAGGTTTTTTAATATATATATTTATACGAAGGTTCATTATTCCAATGGTTCGTATTTACCAAAAATTAAAAAGGATTAATAATTCCGAAAATGAAAAAAAAGCGTTTTTAATTCCGAAAATGAAATAGGGTTCGTAATTCCGAAAATGGAAAAGGTACCTAAACAACAAAGTTTAAAAGGAATAAAGGAGGCCGAGATAGCCCTTCCCTTTCTCCCCATAAGAGGTCCAAAAGGGCTCCAGAGAGAGAAAGAGACAGAGACGGGGGAAATAGTAGAAGACAACAAAAGACAGGACAATTTAAAGGACAACTGAAAAAGGAAGGAAGGAGGAGAGGAAAATTAGAAAGAGGGAATAAGATTGAAATCGGTGACAGAGAGTGAAAGAAAGTAGGGGGTATCATGATTGATTAATAAGGTGATAAGTGGTGGTCATCTCACCGATTTCGTTTCATTTTCTGCTTTATATATTGGTTAATTTATTTGTTCGTTTGTTCGCTCGTTGCTTTTTATTTGGTTTTTGTTATTGGCTCCCCCTCCGCCTTTTTTCTTTTATTCATGGATTGACCATCCCCTCTTTTCAGGTTATTTGCAACCAAGTCGGAAGCAAGTAGCCGCAACTGGAATGACTTTCAATTTTACTCAAATTTGTGGGCAGTTTATTCCCAAGTTTTTATATTCCTGGGGGAAAACATGTATCAGGAAAAGTATTTTGCCAACCCCCCCCCCCCCCCCCCACCCCTCCGAAAACAAAAAAAATAAACAGAAACAAAAACAAAAAAGGAAAACTCACTGAGATATGGATGAACAGCTCGCGTCTTATTACGAAAAATTAAGACCCGAACCGCTCAAACTGCAATGAGAATAATATTAGGCCTTATTCATCACTGTCCTGTTTTTAAAGCATTGAAACTGTCGCTTAATTACAATTATTTTCTTCTCTCATTCACTTTGCAGCTTGGCCTATTTGTGTATTGAACAAGCATTTAAATAAAAGACGAAGATATGCATGCCTCTCCGAAGAAAGGACAATCATTTCCTTTTCAATTCATTCATTGATGCTATGTCAGAAGAATCTTAGTAGTTTGTTACGCAATTATTACGTAATTAAGCTATTGATAACAGAATTGTATAGCCAAGTTTTCTTATTCATTGATGCTATGTAAGGTAACACACGCATACTAAATTATTTTTTTCTGTCCAGCATACTTTGTCAGTGCCCTAAATTACTTATTTTGTAATGAAAGGTGAATATCAAATGTGTATATAATTCAAGCGTTTATGTATGGTATGCGGGGGGGGGGTAGAAAAATAATGTTAACCCAGTTCAATTGCTAGTCAATACGGGTAGAATTTTTTATTTTGTTACAAGCCGGAGAGTTTGGGAACACGTGTGGCATCCCTCCGTTCACAGAGTGGGGGGGGGGGGGGTGAATTGTTTTTTGCTTTAAAAACATAACAATACATGTACTTTCATTCCCACATTGTGAAGGCCCTATTTAAATGAAAAGTAGACGGGTATTGATAACAGTTAAAAGGTTTTCTGTTCTTAAATGACAGAGTTTGTGTATCAGTTGATGCTCGGCTTATGAAATATTGTTACTGATTTTGATTAGTAGCTTATTATTCCCATAGGTGTGAGTCAGTACAATTGCAGTAAGACACACATGAAGTAACACATGACAAGTCATATTCTTAATATCGAGTTTTTCTTCATATCTCATGATAATGGTATTACAAATGTAATAATTACTTAGACCTAGTAGCATTTCTTAAACAAAACTTTCGAGAAATTCGACAAGAATGACTTTCAAGGGTAAAAGTAGTTCCCCAACTCTCTCCCAGTGATAAATATCATATTTGTAAAATTGAGTAAGGTTTACAGGGTTTTTTTTTTTATAGAGTTATTATACAGTTATTGACTGGCAGGGGGTGTAATATAACATTATTTGGACCGCTGAAGGGAGTTATATTTCCCAAGTGGTTATATTTTCCCGAAGCGCGCAGCGCTGAGGGAAAATATGGTCACGAGGGAAAATATAACTCCCTTCAGGTCCAAAGAATGTTATATACCCCCTGCCAGTCAATAACTGTTATATTAGATAGCCTTGTTTTTTTTTTTTTTGTGGGGGGGGGGGGGGGGGGTCCATATTTTTTTTAGCCCGAATTTTTTTTTTTTTTTTTTTCGGGGACAATCAAAATACTGGAAAATAATTTGTCGAGATAACCTTAAAAAAAAAAAATAAAAAAAAATTTGGGGGAAAAAAAAAAAAAAAAAAAAAAAATCTTACCCAAAAAAGCATTTTTCGGGAAACAAAAAAAAATTATTAAAAATTTTTTTTTTACCCAAAAAAGCATTTTTGGGGGAAAAAAAAATGTGGACAAAAAAATTTCTAGGGGAAAAAAAAAATTCATGGAAAAAAATTGAAAAAATAAAAAGGCCCTCGATAATGGTGTAATGTATGTAATTGGTGACATACAGTCCTCAAGAGGGCGACATGCATTGATTAAAAATATATTCATTTCACCAGCCGGTAAAATATAACACTGAAAAGTGACCGGCCAGGAAAATATAACAATTTGGATCCTCGCAATTGATATCACGTGACGAGCTCTGGACCAATCACATCTCGGTATCTGTCTAAGCTATCTAATATAATATATTACCCTGTGCGGGCACCCCCCCCCCCCCCCACACACACACACACACCCACCCAGGCGCGGATCCCCTTGAGAAAAAAATCATGTAAATTAACGTGATTTTTACGATTTTGGGGGGTTGGGCCCCCCCCCCCCCTGGCGCTCAAGGGGGGGGGGTGCAAATTGAAATTTTTTTGAGGATCAAAAAAAAAAATGTGCTCACTACCCCCCCCCCCCCCCCCCCCCCCCCCCCCCCCCCCCCCCCCCCCTGAGTGAATTTTTGGCCGGCGCGTTTTTTCAAATTTTCGGGAGCAAAAAAAAAAAAAAAAAAAATTGTGCTCTGTAACCCCCCCGCCCCCCCCCCCCCCCCCCCCCCCCCACTGAGCGACTTTTCGGCCGGCGCGATTTTCAAATTTTCGGGAGCAAAAAAAAAAAAAAGTTGGGCCCCCTCCCCTAAGAAATCCTGGATCCGCGCCTGCACCCACCCCACCCGACAGTACAGCCCTAAAAAGTAAATGAAAGAGCGCCATCTGTCGTCAGGTTTAATTGCGGGATTTTGGAAAACAAAACACTGCAGATGTCAACAGCGGAGTTGGACCCTTTTTTGTGAAGTTCTGAGATTAAGCTTGTGAGTAACGTAGATCTATTATAATAATAATAATTAGGGTCTATTCGTGAGGTTATTAAAAATCTTTGTAGACAATTTCAGAGAGTAAGACGGTGTCTCGTAAATGTAAAGTAATCTCTCTCGTTCAGCTAAATGCGCTCAGCCTCAGCCTCAGCCTCGGGCATCGCAGCTCGGTGCTGTGGCGGTGGCGGCTACTCAACGGATCTCTGCCCGTCGCTTCCGGCATACATGTAGTTTTACAGAGTTCTGACATAGGCTAGCCCCTGCCCTTCCGTTTGGGAAACTGCTTGCTTGGAGGGAGAATAACCGGGACATTCTACATTGTTGGCGGGAGAGCAGGAGGAAGGCGTGGTGGCGAGAATCTCCCGCTAGATCTACAATCAATACTAGTACAACTAGATCTAGGGATGTTACAAAAAAATTAAATCTCATAGATCTAATTCAAGCTCTTGCTAGACAGAGCCTGATAAGACCTTTTATTTGATGCCATCATAATAGCCCCAGTAATAAGAAAGTTATGCCAATATTAAACGCCCAGAAAGAGAAATTATGTATTTAATCGCTTTGTTTTCCTTTGTTTTTAAACCAAAAGTTGTGATCTCAAATGTGACCGAAAGATTCTATTTCTATTTCATTACATAAAATCGCCCCAAAATGTATGTAGACTCTAAATACACAAAAACTGCTAATCGGGCCGTCATTTTTGCATGACATTTTCACATTCCTCATCCCAAAAAACAGATTTCTCATCGATAGATTTTGCTGAAATTTCACCAAAAGCAAATCCACATGTTAACCAATCATCCTAGATACTTTTTTTTCAAATCCTGTAGGTGAGATCAGGATACAGAATGGCACTTAACTCAGCTCTTGTGTAAAAGTGCAGCAAAACAAACTGCCGAGAACATAAATAATAAAAAGTTTAGTATGAAATGAAAGATAACAATGTCATTCTTCTCATCCAATAAAAATCATGAAACAAAAATCTAATCAGCCCATCAAAAGATCACATTTACGTAGGCTATCCAAATTGGTCTCCAATAGTGCATAACAGCCCCATGGCAGAAACCTTCATGTCGAAAGCACACACATTGTAACATACCTAGTACAACTACAAGCAGTTTTGGGGTGGCGGGAGAATGAGCGTGGTGGCGTGCGCATGAGCCTCCCTCCAAATGCGGGTTCCGCCGGGTTGACAGCCCTGCTTTATATTAACACTCATAAAGAGTAATATCACGGTTGAAGAAAGAACACAATAACAAAATTTTGGTTTTCTGTGTACAACAGTTTTCAGAAAACCCAAATTAGACCTAGATTCTATTATCTTTTCTAGATCTAGATCTAGATCTACGGTATTGAGTATTCTTTTATACTTTTAATCATCAATATTTTCAACTTGGGTCTTCAATTCAAAGTCAAACACATTTTTGGGGGTAAATCTTTGCAAGTTGCGATTGATTGCAACGCCCCAAATTGTAGACTTTGTTATGGAGTTTAATTTGCAAGGCACGCCATGACGATGATGTGACCTTGATTCTTGACAAAGGGCAATTGCAAAATAGTAACAAGTTATTGTTGCATGACTCGACTCACAACAACTGTCGATCCAAACCAAGTTTAAGGCCCTCTTAAGAGTTGGGAGCCACGAATTCGCCAACAATTTGATGGCAAAAATTTCACTTAATATGGTATCATAACGTGATAGAGGATGACATTTAATTTTAAGAGTAAAACTAATGGGGGCATTGCAAAAAAAGTTGTAATCATTTGCAAATCCCCAACATCAACGTAAGTCTTGCAATTGATCGCAACTCATCTTTATTGCAACGCCCCATGAGTGTCTCCCATAACTGTAAAGCCATATCAAAGACTTTGCTTATAAGATGCAACCCCAACAAGACAAATTTTGCCTGTCTAAGGTCAGGAGCCCATTGGTTTAGTGTGTGGATGATAACAAAAACTGTTATGAAAGCAAAAGTAATTTATCATCTGGAATCTTCGTCTCTTCTTCAGTTGCAGTACATATTTATTGTCAAACTGTTAAGGTGCAGTGCAGTTGTATGTACAATGTCTGATGAAAGGTACAATTAACTGTTTGTGAGTAAAAACCATGACATATGGCACAAAACGAATCTGCTATTAAATTATAAGCTCTATTGTTATTTTGAGCCAAGGTAATCACTTTCCAGCAAATTAAATTAAATTAATTGGTATACCGGTACTGAAATAGGAGACCGTCTCCCAAATAGGCTTCCAAAAATTATTACAAAATCTTCTGACATTAGAGATAGTCTCCCGTATTGGCAGTGTGCCTCTATTTTACACAGTGCTGCTTATTTTATAAAGAAAACACCACAAGTGTTTAACATCAACATCAAAATCAACAGTATACGGAAGAAAAGGTAGTCCTGTTGGTCTTCCGGTCGCTTCTTCTTTATGGTTGTGATTAATAAACAAAAATAACTTTGAAGGCACACTAGTGAGATGGATCACGCGCAACATACTGGAATTTGGACCAATAATTATCAAGTAATATTTTGAAAATATTCAAACTTTGTGCTGTGACCGCACACTGAGGAAGATTGTTCCAGTCGGTGATAACACTTTGGCTGAACAAGTGCCCTCTGAGATTGAGCCTGTATTGTTGCTTGAAAATTTTCAATGAGTGACCTCTAGTTTCGCGGGATGAATGCATCGTGAAAAACTTTTCTAAATTTCTAAACTTGCATAAATTCTATTTTATTATCATTTCATCCATTGATAGGAGAAGCAGGAGAGATGTCATCTATGGAAAATTCCCCAAGCAAGCAATGGACCAAACCCTCGCACATCATGAAGGTCCGGTTGAAAAGAAATCGCCGTAGCACCAGCGACCTGACCTCAAAGTCCTTCACATCGACCCAATCGCAGGTCAACTCTGGGTCACAATCAACCGGAAACGGCCGGAGTGGGAAGAGGCGTAATCCATTCGGTAGCGGGGGTGGGGATAATGTGATGAGGAGGAGAATTCAAAGTGAAGTTGTAGGAGGCGAGAGACAGCATGTTAAGAAGGAGAACGGGAGTAACCATCGAAAGCTCTTCACTGCACTTGACTCACAGCAAGATGAGGTACCTAGATTTTGGAGCTCAGGTTTTTTCTCTCTCTTTCTAGTTGTAGTCAACATACAGTACATATAAACCTATGTGCTTAATGTGTTAATGGACTTTGTATGTGAATTGGAACTCACGTATGCTGAAATCTTCCTTGAATTTATTATTAGAGCTGTAATATTCAATATGTCTATATTAACAGAATTAAGAGAAAAGATTTAAAAGTAGGATTATTATTTCATTTACCTTCATTTTGTATAACTCTTTAATCTTCATTTCCTGTCACATCTTTAGGTATTTGATGTAGAGGCTTGCCAAAGACTGACCAAGGCTATGAAAGCTATGGAGGCAGAGGAGGAAGAAAAGACTGCATCAAAATCTACAAAAGAGGTATTTCATCAGCAGCTGTTTTACCTTTCTTTTTACCTAGTGGATAGTTTTAATTGTCCTTGGTTTGAATAAAAGCTTTATGTACAGTGTACCTTAAAACCAAAGGTAAATATTGTGGTAAATTTGGTGTATGAAAGTATACATGTAAAAGACTGCAATGTTTTTATTACTAGGAAGACTTGGATATTTATGTTGAAAGGGGGGGGGGGGGTGTGGATTTTCTTAAATTTGATGTGAAATTAACAAAATGTAGTGCTATTTAATACTTAAAGCCCCACTGTACTACTTGCTACCTCTATATAGAAAACAATGCCTAAGCAGTGACCATTGGTCCCCCATGATCCTCTTTTTCTTATGTTAATTGAGAGCTGAGTTTATGAGATAGCCACCTGTCAGTGACCACACTGAGTGGTCTAATCCCTCCTGGCTAAACTAGTACAGCATGGCTTCAAGGTAATAGTATCAAAACAGTCTTGTTCCATTAGGGCATGTTGCTGGTAAGGCCTTCTTATAACCTGACTGTCTCAAATTAATGCACCAACCTGTCCAAGTGTTTTTCGTCATTCAAGAAATTTATTCCTCCCACTGTATTACTGATCACTTTCATTGTCTCCATATTTCAGCAGACTGAGCAAGTCAGTAGTAAACCACTTGCTAGAGGTAAACCTGACCTGACACCAGACTGGTGTCTCAGAACGCGTCTTCGTTTTACATCACACAGCTCATTCAGTCCACTATGTTACTCATCACTCTCATTGTCTCCATATTTCAGCAGACTGAGCAAGTCAGTAGTAAACCACTTGCTAGAGGTAAACCTGACCTGACACCAGACTGGTGTCTCAGAACACGTCTTCGCTTTACATCACACAGCTCATTCAGTTGGTGCCAGCCGATCCGTATGAAGGAGGAAGCCAAAGGACTGTGCTCGTTTGTACAAGGTCAGCATGGTCCTGACACCGAGGTAAGCTAGGGCAGTCCCATTGAACAGTATAGCATGGATAGGTCATTGATGTGCTAAGATGAAGCTTACTGTACACCATTTTTCTACCCCACTGATTTATATGAACTTAAATAGTTTCATTGATCCTGTAGCTTTGAGTGCGTAAAGTCCTAATGATAGGCTGGCCTTCAACAATGGAATAGTTTTCTGTCACTGTTGGATTCTCTCCAAGGAGCTTCATGAATGTATTGTGCATAGTATGTAAAAACCTTCAGTCCAGTTGCATAGTTCTCTGGAAAGAGCCCATGCCTAGTGTAATAGAACACTTCACAGGGATGCCAGTTTCCGGGCAATAGCATGAATTCAGGCCCTGGCAAGTTATTTTCAGACCATAGTTAAGGCTTTTTTGTGTACAAAAAAGCTCATTCTAGGTGATTTTCAGGCCCTCTGATAAATTCAAACTGGAATCCCTGACTTCAGTTGTTCGGTACACGTAGCCATGCATTATGGAATCGTAATACCTGTAATACTTAAAGTGCTCTTGAACATTCTAAATGGCACCTCCACAATATGGAATATATATGATATCAGAAGATAGTCTCTAGCAAGACAGCTCATGGTATAATACACATAAATCTGAAATTTTATACCGAATACTGTCTCTAAGTGCTTTACATATATTATTACTCCCGTCATCAGATTCATTCACACACTCGTTGTGCACACTTTTCACTCCCTTGGGAGTCTTCCAACATATGTTCACTGTGAGAGCATATGACAATTTCTATCACAAAGGCTTTCATCATCCTACCTGGTCCCGTTGCTCTCCTTGGTATGGAGTGACAAATGTAGATTAATGCCTTGCCAAAGGACAGTATTGCTACGTCAGGGATCGAACCCACAACCTTTGCATTTCCTGTCAAGTGGTTAAACCACTCGACTACAACAATTCATATATGTATGATCACTCTGATAGTCTATGTCAGTGTGCTCCTCACTATAATACCTTGTACACAATTGATATGATTCAGGAGCAAGAGACTGGTGAGGAGACTAGCTGGAGGAGTGACCTTCAGCAGGCTACCATGTGCTGGATGCATCCTGATATACCGTGGCTTAACCTCTTCCCCAGGGTGGTACCAGAACCAAAAAAGTTCAAGTAAGTTGTGCAGCAAGTCGCCTATTACAGGGCAATCCAAGCTTTGCTTACCGGTAACCTCTTCCCCAGGGTAGTACCAGAACCAAAAAAGTTCAAGTAAGCTGTGCAGCTAGATCATAGGGAAATCCAAGCTGTGCTTACCAGTAACCTCTTTCCCAGGATTGTACCAGAACCAAAAAAGTTCAAGTAAGCTGTGCAGCTAGATCATAGGGAAATCCAAGCTGTGCTTACCAGTAACCTCTTTCCCAGGGTGGTACCAGAACCAAAAAAGTTCAAGTAAGTTGTGCAGCAAGTCGCCTATTACAGGGCAATCCAAGCTGTGCTTGCCCGTAACCTCTTTCCCAGGGTGGTACCAGAACCAAAAAAGTTCAAGTAAGTTGTGCAGCAAGTCGCCTATTACAGGGAAATCCAAGCTGTGCTTACCAGTAACCTCTTTCCCAGGGTGGTACCAGAACCAAAAAAGTTCAAGTAAGTTGTGCAGCAAGTCGCCTATTACAGGGCAATCCAAGCTGTGCTTGCCCGTAACCTCTTTCCCAGGGTGGTACCAGAACCAAAAAAGTTCAAGTAAGTTGTGCAGCAAGTCGCCTATTACAGGGAAATCCAAGCTGTGCTTACCAGTAACCTCTTTCCCAGGGTGGTACCAGAACCAAAAAAGTTCAAGTAAGTTGTGCAGCAAGTCGCCTATTACAGGGCAATCCAAGCTGTGCTTGCCCGTAACCTCTTCCCCAGGGTGGTACCAGAACCAAAAAAGTTCAAGTAGGTTGTGCAGCAAGTCGCCTATTACAGGGCAATCCAAGCTGTGCTTACCAGTAACCTCTTCCCCAGGGTGGTTGGTACCAGAACCAAAAAAGTTCAAGTAGGTTGTGCAGCAAGTCGCCTATTACAGGGAAATCCTAGCTGTGCTTACCTGTAACATCTTTCCCAAGATTGTTTTGATTCATCTCCTGTTCATTTCATTTTTTTTAGTCATTTTAACATTGACTAAATGACTCTTGCCCCCCCCCCCCCTTTCCTGTCTAGATTTGGAGAAGAGGATTTCAAGTTTTACTTTGAAATAGATTATTATAGTGATTCTTTGTTTCAGCACAGGAACTCTTCTAAAATCACTAATTTGTTGTCCTTTCAGTAGGAAGGTCAAATCAAATATGTTATTAATTATAATGAAAATAACTTATTCTTTCATTTTCCTTCACCACTGGAACCCCTAAAAAGCACATATATTTTATTTGTTATTTTGTTAACCAGTAATTATTTTTTTAATTCCAATATCAGTGTAACTTATACCTATCAAAGAGAACATGTCCTTGCACTTTCCTTTACCAATGCAACCCATTTAAAGCACAAACCTTTTCCCTGTGTCCAGATGGTAAGAAAACATTGACAAAAACCAGTAGATGTAAAATTAAGAAGACAAAATGAATACATGTAATTGTGAACAGCGAGCAAATGTACACTACACTGTCATGAGGAAATAAGGATTTCAATGTAATGTTTGGACTTATCACCTTTATTTTTAAGTGTCTCCAAATTTCTTCATCTCTTGTATCTATAGACAATCCATTGCTACTAAGGATACAACAATAGCTAGTGCCTTGATGACAAACTGGTAAGTACATTACAGTGTCTCTGTAGAAGCAGGTATACTGTATATCAGGCATATTCATGTTTTCATACTGTACTTATTTATATGTGCATTATTCAACACAGATGATTGGAAGTTGTTCAGAATTTGTTATGTAAATTTCTAAAAAACCTGTTTAGTGGGAAAAGTGGAAGGGTACCATTATATATTTAGCTTCATCCTCCATTTATGTCTACTGGTATTTACTAGTCTCTCTTTCTTTCTCTCTCTCTCTCAAATACACACACTATGTATCTCTTTCTCTCCCTTCTTTGCTTTTTCTCTCCCCCTCCCCCCCCCCCCCCCCTGCTCCCTCCCTCACTCTCTCTCTGTCGATTTTCTCAAAAGAGACTGGTATCAAGTTGCACTAATTCCTTGTAAGGCAATGTGCCCTGATAACAATCCTTATGTATTTGTAAAAGCTGTACCTACGTCCTTAGATTAAAAAACACGCTGGTTCGTTATCATAATAGGATACATGCATGTGTAGTATATATAAAAAAGAGGAATAGATGCATTGTTGCCGCAACTTCAGCTTATTTTGCTAATTATCTTCTTGACCCAGGTCTGAGAGTTTCCGATCTGTCTTCCACCTGCTGCGGTCGGGTCACTGCCCTTATTTCTACCTCTGCACCCATCACTTCACCGTTCTGTTCAGAGCCGCTGGTATCGCTGCCACGCCCACTATGCATGCCCTCATGACCCCTACCACCAGAGGGCTCAGAGAGGCACTGAAAACAGAAGGTAATCATCACCTTTAAGAACATATACTCTATAGCTATAGTGAGTTACATTGTATGCAAATTATTTCAGTCTGCAAAACATGAATGTTCTTTTGTTCATGTAGTACCATTTGCTTTGTAATTTAAGAATATCTTCATTGATAATATTTAAAATAAATATATTTATATCAGGCACATAAAAGAGTGAAGTCAATTAAGATTAGTGAGAAACCTATGAAAACGAAGTGAGTACTCGTATGTTTAGAGGTCACATGAAGAGTAATGAATTACAAAGAATTAATTTTTAGCAAGTATGTATTTCCTGTGCAATTTCTGCTTTGTTTTGACCTGCTAAGTGATTGATTTAATGAAGGGTCACAACATCATTAACTGAGAAATGAGGTGTTTTTCTAATCAATGTTTCAACAATAATCATTAATAGTTATGATGGTATTGGTATACAATATGACCTGTATTAACCAATTAATTTGTTTAATTATTCAAAATTCAGGCATTAGTTACACCATGCCTTTACATCAAGAAGCCCCATCTCCAGTAGAAACAGAGACAACTACCGCAACTGCAGGTCAACAACAGAAAGCTACTGAAGAAAGGTAAGGCAACCATCGATTCAGATGCAACAGGATTTTAACATTTTTCAAAAGCTTTGGAATCTGTAGAATTTTATTGGTATATTTTATCTATAAAAGATGAAGTTGAATATTTTAGGATATCAAGTGAAAACCTGTGTATGGTATACATGTACATTCTTCTGGTACATACATATCACCAACATTTTATTTGGGTATATATGCCAAATAGCATGTTGCAGGGCGTGGGTCCAGCTACTGGTACTGAGGTTCTACTGTTGTCATTTGTGGGGGATGAGAACACTAATATGACCAGTTTGATGTAATACAAGAGAACCAAGCCATCAACTATAAAGGGGAGTAATTACCCCCCCCCCCCCCCTTTTTGGTAGCATTTGCCCTCTTCATTTCTTAGTGTCTCCCCCACAATGTTTTTCTCCATCCCCAATAGTTTAAAGGAGTATGCACAGAGTCTGCCGTTGTGTAAACCAATTATATCACCTCGGTCAGTGACACAAAGACGTAACTCCATTTTGGCCATTTTGAGAAAAAGTGGTTTATGTGTCACTGAGCACTTGGGCCTTAAGGAGTTAAGTCTATGTTTCACTAGCCATTGACTTTAATGGGGTGTTGGGTAGAGTTAAGGCTTTGTGTTTCCTAGAAAGCCCACATTTCTCTGAACATTTTGATATGAAATACTCATTTTGGCAAAATATGGAATTACGTCTTTGTGTGACTGAACCCTTGACCTCATGTTCCATCTAGCTGTCCTGAAGGAGAGATAGAAGAGCAGTCTGAAGTAAACCAAGAAGATGATCAGATAAAGAAAGAGATCGCAGAGGAAGAGGAGGAAGTGGAAGACATCCTTCGGAGCCCCACCAAGGCATCGTCATGGTTACAGAGCATGGGTCTGGATAAAACCAACTTTCCGTCCTTAGAGCCCACCAGAGTCAAATTGTATCCTTTTCTCTCTGTCTATTGGGACTTTAGACCCATCACGTTACATGCATTGATTTTGAATAAAGGGATCTAATTTAACTTTAATACTTAATGTCATGCATGATATTACCTAGGTAAAATCAACTTGATTTTCTTTTAAAGGCATTGTTTAACATTGCTTCCAGTTTTACAAATCTGAGATGCATGGATCTACGTGTTATCAGTGTCTGTGATATGGTGTAATATTGAAGCCCTAAAAAAAATTGAGTGACCGGTGTTACCATACTCATTTTCCCCGATAGACTTTAGTGTTATACAATTGACATTTCGAATTCCAATCAAAAATATCTTGATAATCAGACAGGCCTGACTGACCGAAAGATTTATAATTATGACTGCAGCATGAGCTTAATCCAGGCTTTTGTTTAGAATCTGAGGCAAAGATACCCAATCCCATTTAAGTGCATATTATAAAACCTGAAACTTTCAACAAAAGTCTAATATACAAATTTCTTGAGCATTTCAGTTTCACAGAATCACAATTGATACAATACTCAAGTATTGCAATTTGTAAGTTTATTGCCATGAAGATGGCTGTTTTTATCAGTTTACCAAAGTATAATGTTGCAAAAGTGTTGGGTTAAACAGTAATGCAAGTTGTAATCATGCATATTTTCCAGCATAACACAGTGGTGGTAAATGCTATTTATCATCATGATTTTGACATGCTTTTGTTAGTCGAGGCACATGCGATTCATGACAGAATTGAGAAATGTGTAGCTCCTAGACTGGAGAATTGTATGGCAGTAAAAAACGCCTTAGTTGTATAAAGTGGTCCAATAAAATATCTTCTTTTTATAAAGAAAGGGAGACCTTGGTATCTTTCTACAGTTGTCACATTTTATGCTTCCCTTGGGTAGTCAGGCTGCAGTGAATACATTAAAAAAAAACAAGGTATAACAAGAATTGTAGAATTTTTTCCTTGACCAAGTTATCCCCAGCCAAACTGACCAACTACTCAAACTGGACAATCGGCCTCAATCCCTGGTGCTAGTAGAAGGTCTGGACACCGCGGCCTTGTATAACTTCCTACTGAACAGTCGGACGGTGCTGACCAGTGTAGGACCATTAGCAGACATACCGCCCACCATCCTCTCTCCTATAGCATTCAAGGGTGCTACTCTGAACAGCTGCAAGGTAATGTTCATTGATTTTTAGTTTATCTTGTATGGTAGCAGCCAGGGGACCTTTTCCTGGAGGTCTATCTGAGGAACTCAGATTTCCACTCTTTCTTGGGTTCGAGACCATTGTTCAAATTGATGAGCCACTTCACAGGTTGGCATCTTGTGTGTAAAGCAGGTGTATTTGAACTTTATTTTGTAGAACTCTTGTTACAACAAGGTAATTTTTTGCTGGGCCTACTTCTTGTAATAATACTGATAACAAGATTTCCTTATTACAATTAATTTCCTTGGTCCCAAGGAGTTCACTTTAAGGTTCCACCGAATATAATTCCAAGGCAAAAAAGAAAGCCAGAGATTCCATTTCACTTCAATATTCTATTCCAGGGAGTGGAAAATGTGCACACATTGAGTGCGGGTAAGCCTGAATCCGATGACCGGGGTAATAGTATATCTGTAAAGCGCTTAGGCACATCGTTGGATCGGTGTATTGAGCGCTATATAAAAAAACAGATTATTATTATCATTAGTGTTTGTGCTTTTTTTTTAACCCCCTTTATTACTTCATTCTGAATTTATGCTGTGCTGCTTTCAATTTTAGCAGTGCATTTTTGGAGAAATGTAAAGTTTTCAGAATGCTTCTCTCAAGTGCTTGAACTAAAATGGAGCTTTTCCTCTTTGCTTTTCCCAGCTGAAATCAGGCACTCTGAAGCAACAATCCAGCAAGTCCTCGCTGGTAGAGGTCAGCAGCTTAGAGGTCACAGGTCCCATCATGCCCCACAACGTCCACAGCCTCTGTGCTCTTCTCCGCAGAACACAAGAGGGCGCTTTCCATATGGCCCTCAGCAATCACGAAGCAACTGCTCCGTTCACCAGCTGTACCTACTCCACCAATGAGAAGTCAGGAGTGAGGGACGCAGGGGACGAGGAGAGATTGAAAGCGATGAGAACGAACTGTGGACTTTCAGAGAGACAGGTGGAATATTTGGGTAGCAAGTGTACTGTTAATTTACCCACCAAGGAAGTGACATGCACAGATAGATTGTTTCTGTAGTTATAATTATATCCTTGGGAATAAACAATAGAGGTATACCGAGTATATTTTCAAAGTGTAATACTGTAGATAAATTAATTTTTGAAATGAGAGGAACTTTTGTAGTTTGAAACTACCGGTATCTGATTGTGACTATATAATGGTTGTCGGTTTGTGTGTTGTGAAACCAGTTTTGTCATGTCATGTTTCATGTTAAAAGGCACCTTTGAGCTCTTAAAGGGGAAGTCCACCCTGAAATTAAGTTAGTTTTAATAGGAGTAGAAAAATTAGAGAAACAAGTCAGTGAAAGTTTGAGCAAATTCCGATCAAAAATAAGGAAGTTAGGATTTTTGAAGTTGTGATCAATCAAACACAAATTGGCAACTCTATGACGTATCATGCGAGCTCAACTTCCATTTGCTCAGTACTAAAAAAATCTAAAATTTTCATTTTCCCTCAAGAAAAATTTCAACCATACATGCACCCTAAATATAATAATTGCAAATATGTGTCTATACTCCCCCTGCAAGGAACAAATATATATTCCGTCATCAATAACGAAGAAAACATGATTTTATGGAATATTATGCACAAAGCAAATGAAGGAGAGCTCGTATAATAAGTCACGGAGTTGCCAATTTGTATTTGATTGATCACAACTTCAATAATTCATAACTTTCTTATTTTCATTCAGAATTTGCTCAAACTTTCACTCACCTGATTTTCTTATTATTCTGCCTCTATCGAAACAAACTTATTTTGGTGGTGGACTTTCCCTTTAATGTACTACATCCAATGTTTATTTTGTAGTCAGGGCTGTGCACATGTATTAAAACTAGAAATATTCTTGCTTTTCTACACATTTCTCTAATGAGAAGATTCTTCGCACATCACACAGCTTGTGTAACATCTTGAAAATGCGCCAAAGAAACAGTTTTTACAGAATACGGCCTAGAATGTAATGTATGTCACAGAGGGCAATTCTAAACCCATGTGATATTTGATAACATACAAGACTGTCAGTGCCTACCTGTGTGCTCATGCATCACGACATGCAATGACAGGCATGGTTTATGGATCGAACGATCGTTCGTCACATGCTACAGGTACATTTCCTCCTCATTCAAGTTCTAACACCAGTCAAATCAGAAACTGCAACAAACAAACCCAACCATAAACATGATTGAAATCCGAGCCCCAACCATGTCTTTTTCAGTATGTAGCAGGGAGTAAACATTGTCAATGCAATTGTCAGAATCACCCAGGAGGGTCCACACACAAAATTGAAACCTGAGGAGTATGAATCGATGTATGCAAAGCACAAATTGTTTTGTTGACATGGTCCAAGGGACCCGTTTCACAAAACTTGTCATCAGTGACAATTGACAGTCTTTGTTATAAGCTACTGAAATCCTTGCTTCTGATTGGTTATCAGCAGATTTGTCACTGAATCTTGTCATTTGTCATTGAAAAAAGGCTTTGAGAAACGGGTCCAGGGCTCTACGATTCTTAATGGCTCTCTGGTGCAATCAGCCATATTTTGGAGCATTTTCAAACCAAGTTTATGAATAATATTTCAGAAATAGTTTAGGTTGAGAATGAAACTTAAAGAGAAGGGTCGAGTTCTGGGAAGAGGTGAAAAATAATTTGTGAGTGTTATCATTCGTATTATGCAAGTGTGGAAGAACATCATATAACACATGTTCCCTGAAAAGCATGGCTCTTCAAATGCCTTCATATTCTAAATATGTCATGTAACATATAAAAATCTGGGGTAGGATTTTTAAGCCATGTGTTCGTGTAGTCCCATATACATCTTTCTGTGTACAGTGTTTGTAACTTTTCCAAGACTTGGCCAAATTTCTTATCATTTTGATGATTCAAGAACCTTGCAATACACACAAATTCTTATATGCTAGATGATCAACCTTTTCTGGCCGATTCCACACCGTTTCTTTCACAATGCAATCGCATGACCAGAACTCAACTTCATCTTTAAACTGAATTTCAAAACTGCAATTTTTCAATTCAAACCTGTCGCTGTTGCACGTTAATACCCCTTTGTGTACCACTTAACCATCTTTCTGAAATTTATTTATTGACATGTAATATAAATAATGATATAACATCTTGTGTATGAGTAAAGTAATGCAAATTTATAACAAATATATAATAAAGACAATGCAAAACATATTTTTTGTGGCATGGTTTATTTCTTTTAATGCATAAATGTTGTAATTCATGCTCATTCATAACCATGTACATAAAGTTTATCTAGAAAAAATGTCACATTCTTTCTGTATAAAAAGTATTTTAAAAACAAAAACATATGCCATATCATCACTTCTTGTTATTCTTAAAATATTGTTCCACTTGGTGACTTTGAGAAATGAAACACGGCCATCAAAATGAGGTCAAATAATCAGATTTTAATATCTGTTCAACTACCGGTACACAAAAATGAAAGCAATCATTTTGGCAGTCCACAATGTTTTTTTTAAAGACATATTCACAAGTCAAATGAAAACATTCATTTTAGTCTTCTACACATTCTATATTAAACAACCAATCTATCTTAACCCTACGTTAACTGGGGGGGGGGGTCAATTTGACCCCCCCTGTAGAAATTTCGCGACTACTCCGAAACCGCGGCAGATATAAAATTTTCCTCTCATGACTTTTTACTTTCGAGTGTTACGCATCTTTTAAAACAATTTTTTTGAAAATCGGACCTACGGTTACAAGGTCGCGTGACCTTTTGTCTTTGCATGTCAGCCCGAAAATCGCTCATTTTCGTGATTTGTGTACAAAACATATGTAAAAGTCATTTTTCCTAAAAATAGATAAAACATTGGTTATTCAGTCTTGGTTTTTTGCATATAAATTCACTCTAATGTAATATTTCGGATTTATATCTTCAATGATGCATTCTTAGACATTTATTGTATGTTTTTTATGTTTAGATCATAGTTTCGTTCGCTAATGTGAGTATTGACCAACACTCAACTATTCCTTTAAAGTTTAGATGTTTGTTTTGGGGTCAAAATAGTTGAATTGTAGTTATAAATGAAATAAAACAACAAAAACAATAAAATACATAAGTTAAAAAAACAATGAAATACACAAGAAATTATAAAAACAAGAGATAACATAAGGAATAACCTGGCTCTTCCAATTTTTTGTGTTGTATTATTATTCCAAATGGTCTAATAAATATATGTAGTGAAAAAGAATACTTAAATATGAATAATCTATGTTTTATGGGCCGAAATGTGAATTTTATGACCTTATTTGCATAAATTACCATAAATATGCAAATGAGTGAATTTTTCAAAAATTTGAAATTACCATAGTATTCTATACACTTCACTTGACATGCATGCAAATTTTTGCGGCGATCGGCGGTGAAACGGCCGAGATCTTAGGGGGGGGTCAAATTGACCCCCCCCCCCAGTAAAAACCTGGTCTGAAATAGCCCAGTTAAAATAGGGTTAAAGAGAAGGTCGAGTTCTGACGAATGGTGAAAAATAATTTGTGAGTGTTTTCATTGGTTTTATGCAAGTGTGGAAGAACATCATCGAACAAATGTTCCCGGAAAAGTATGGCTCTTTAAATGCCTTCAAATTCTAAATATGACATGTAGCAGCTTAAATATACATATATATACTGTGTACAGTGCTTGTTACTTTCACCAAGACTGGGCCAAATTTCTTATCATTTTGATGATTCCAGATCCTTGCAGTACACACCAATACTTATATGCTACATGATCAACTTTTTCTGATCGATTCCACAACGTTTCTTTCACAATGCAATCGCATGAACAGAACTCAACTTTATCTTTAAGCTCCTTCAATAAAATTTAGAAAGTGATACACTAAAAATGAGTCAATATTGACTTTCAGTGCAAGCTAAAACTCAGTTTAGATTGTTTGAACCATCACAAGATATCAGATCCCTTAATTAAACTTCTTATCACGTGATACAACATACAGCTTGCCATTGTGGAGAAAAAATAAAATGTAACCACTTGTGATCAGCGCTCAAAATACACAGGAGCGATGGGCGATTCGCCCCCGTGAGCTACATAATCGCCTCCGTCAGGTTGCTCACGGGGGCGTTTGCAAAATTAAAAATCGCCCCAATGGAGAAGAAAAAAAATGTGACCACTTGTGATACTGATTTAAATAAATATAAAAACAAGAATAGTCCTGCAGCCACCTCAAAATGTTGAAACAGAAGGTCCACTTGCCCCCCCCCCCCCCCCCCCCTGTAGGGAACTACTGGTCAACACTACACAAGTTTTTGAAAACTGTTAATTGAAACAAACTTACGTATTGATGATATTATTTTTTCTACAGAATGCTTTCTTGAAAAGGCAAGGCGAAACACTTGCGATTCATGTACCTTTAATAACGTTGACAAAAGTCCAAAGAGAAAAAACGTAAGTATGAAACAGTAAGAGAAACAAGAACTGAGTGGAGAATATGATCAGATCAGAATTTATATCAACATATTAACGAAAAGAAATGGAAGGCAACATGGAAAATTACGTTTGGTTTTTTTAAGTACATGATTTGCATGAGTTTTCGTATGTTCATGTATACTGGTAGCTATATTTTTCTTCTTCTTCAAATCCAGAGGTAGATTGATGAGAATGAATTTACTAATCAAATCATATCAAATCAATCCTGATGTAAGCTGAAATTGGAGTCCTTCCAAATGAAAAAAAAAAATCTAAAAATAATGTTAATTATCGTCGGGTAGTTACTTTTCAGAATCAAAGTTTTATTACACCCTTTTGTCCAGTGTTAATCACATTTTATGGTGAAATTAAAGTCGTACATAATGTGCTCTTTCTATGCTAAATATTTGCTTATATGCTTATAAATAATTTGCTTTCAAAATGATGTACTTGTACATTAAAAGGAGCTATCAAATTATCAATCAACTGGTTTACATTAAAATAAGGGACTTGGATATCCATGAGAAATTTAAAATCATTTGCACTCAAAATGAATATGCCATTGTTCACAGTGTGGCTTCCAAACTGAAGGCCAAAGCTGAATAGCTCCCATTAAAACTTTCACCCAAACCTATGCTGAGCACTCTTGTGCCACTTTCAAGTCTATTTTAGACTTGACCAGGGACCCGTTTCACAAAGCCTTTTTAAAATGACAAATGACAAAAATCAGTGACAAATCTGCTGATAACCAATCAGAAGTAAGGATTTCAGTAGCTTATAACAAAAACTGTCATTTGTCACTGATGACAAGTTTTGTGAAACACCCCCCAGGACAGCTTATATTTGTCCATGCCTCCTAGCTGCCTGCTAGAGCTGCACCTATAGGAATTCTACAGAGAGAGCAGGGCAAGCACACTAAGATACTCTGCAGACCAGCCATCTGTACAGGCAATCTATGAATATTAATTCCCTCCAAAGCGATCCAATGATGTGTGTCGCATACAAAATATTCATCCATCTTTTACATTATCCTTATAATCCACAAGTGCGTAATCGGTGGCATTACAGTGGACTGATGATTTTCTCTGGTATCACTGCATAAGGATCACTCAATAGTTTTGTATCGATCTTGTGTACCGTCATCAGGCAAGATATATCTTTAAGTACGACACAGGCAGAATGGCCCTTTAGCGTGTGTTCCAGTCATCGATGTGGTAGAAGTCCCATCTTCTGTAGGGCAACCGTTGCTGCCATGGCTTTGGCATCTTAGCGTGTGTTCCAGTCATCAATGTGGTAGAAGTCCCATCTTCTGTAGGGCAACCGTTGCTGCCATAGCTTTGGCATCTTAGCGTGTGTTCCAGTCATCAATGTGGTAGAAGTCCCATCTTCTGTAGGGCAACCGTTGCTGCCATGGCTTTGGCATCTTAGCGTGTGTTCCAGTCATCAATGTGATAGAAGTCCCATCTTCTGTAGGGCAACCGTTGCTGCCATGGCTTTGGCATCTTAGCGTGTGTTCCAGTCATCAATGTGGTAGAAGTCCCATCTTCTGTAGGGCAACCGTTGCTGCCATGGCTTTAGCATCTTAGCGTGTGTTCCAGTCATCAATGTGGTAGAAGTCCCATCTTCTGTAGGGCAACCGTTGCTGCCATGGCTTTGGCATCTTAGCGTGTGTTCCAGTCATCAATGTGGTAGAAGTCCCATCTTCTGTAGGGCAACCGTTGCTGCCATGGCTTTGGCATCTTTCTTGTTCCCTGAACACACCGTCGGAATGTACTCATCATTACGTATACACACCTGGAACAAGGAAGAAGAAAAAAGGGCAATTATGAAAAGTATTACTAAATTTCCATCAATCTTAACAAATCCATACACTTCAGACTTAAATGACTTTCAAAGAGTATTTTCATTAGTATACATTGAGAAGTTTAAGAAGACATACATGTAACATGAAAATAAAATAGATATCCATGCTCTGTATCAAATTTTCACAGTAACCCGAGTGAAAATGTTCAGCATTTTTTATCTTGAAGCTTCCTTTCAACAAAATGTAAGTGTTTGGTTATATTCCTGCTCGAGAAACCAGTGATTACTTTTGTGTCATGTCTTTCAAAATTGTCAATAGACGTTCAAAAGTACCGATCACTTTGCACAATATAAATGATAGACCAGTGGATGTATGGTTTTATCATGTGCATTACAGAAAGGCATGAATGATTTCATTGTCAGCAGAAATACATTTCTAGAAACATAAGAATTTCAAAGCTCTGACCATTCCTATTTCACTCCATATGTGGATTGCTAACAGTGATAGGTTATATCTCTTCAATATTACTCCTTCATTCTTTCATTACAAAATATTTTAAAACAATGAAAAATTCAATGAAATTGTTTTCGTTTCAGCCTTTCGTCGAACCGCCTTCTTTGGAGCAGTTCAAGGTGGCTCTTGAAACAATTTAGTTCCCTTTTCAGGAACTGTACCGTATAGAGCTGTATATAACAACTCTATGCTTTACCCTCATCTAAATGCTGAGCAGGCGTTGATGAGTATTACCATAGAAGTAAAAGTAGAAGTTCAGGTTATTATCTATAATTGTACCTTGAAAACAAAGTTCTTCTTGTGCGGAGGACCATCCTCTCTCACAACCTCAAAGTTAGGTTTGCCCCATCTCCTCTTATTACAGAGTTCATTCAGCGCCATCACAGGGTGCTTGCCGGACAGGTCCTTCCGGATCACCTTTGACACATCCCCTTTCTTCTTTGGTTTCTCCTCTGCAGCTACCAGACCTGAAGGGTGATGCGAGTAGAAGGAGAAAAGAAATGAGCTACAATTTAACAAATAAATCCTGACTTTTGTGGAATAGCTAAATAGGACTAGAGAAATCCAATCACAGAAATGAAAAAAAAGGAAAGAAATCAATCCTGACCTACACATGTAGGTGAAAGGGATAAATATGACTACCGGTATAGGAATCCAATTACAGGGCTCTTTAGCTATGCGATATCATGAGGAATGACTCTCAAAATACAATGTGGTGGTTATTTTACCCGACTGCTAAGAAATTTGCATGAATGCTTGCTAGTAAGCAACCAGACAGCCGACGGCTTTAGGTCCTCTCCGAGGGACCTGGTAATGAGGATTAATGCCTTACCAAATGGCACTAGCGCATCTACTTGGTTTCGAACCCATCGCACCTCCTGGGGCTTAGGGCAATATTTATTGCCTCCTGGAACTTAAAAACTTTCAGACCATTGTTACTTGCAAATACAACTTAATTTAACATGATAGTAGAGATGAAGAATGTTTTTCTTTGCCCTCTAGGAACTTAACTTTTCCTGTTATATTAGGCATGATTAGACCCAAGAAAAAACGGGGAAAAAGTTTAAAGAATTCTAACTTACCTTGCCGATCTGTCTTGATCTCCAACAACAATGGATTGAGGGCTCCCTCTTTGTTCTTGCCTAGTCCTTCTCCCTGCTTCCAGCCCATCTTATGCATGAGTGACCGTCCAATGTCTGTGTTGACCGGTGCAGCTGTCAGGAACATGTCCTGTGGGGGGTCAGTCAGATCCAAGCACCAACGATGACCCAAGGTGACACAAGGTGAAATGGCCCATGAGCAGGGCGAGCGAAGGCAACATCCCCCAAATGTCAATATTTTGAGGGTATGATGATGAGAAGGGTATTATAAAGGATTATGATTGGAGATGTGATGGTGGGAGATAAGTAAAAATAAATAAGGAATAAAATTAGAACCCTAGTTATGATTGTTAGTGGGCATTATCTTAAATATCATTGCAAAGTAACAAAGATGTTTTTCCTCAAATATTAGAACATTAGACATGATAAATACTACTGCTCATATCAGGAATAGGAAGCGAATAAAACTTTCCAATGACACTTCCTACTTACCTTACAATTTTAAACTTCAATTGAAAATGATTGATATTAAAGGACTATTTTGTTTAATAAATACATTTTTTATGCCTACTACAACTGGAAAGAGTTGAATAAAAACTTTAATTCTGATATCACAGCCTACATAGAGTATCAAAGTTCTAACGTCACATTCACTCATCACTGGGACATCATTCAAGCAACGGACTGGAGCACGGCAAATTCAATTTTTGGCGGTGGTGTGATCACCTCGCTATTGTTTATCACAAAATTGTTTCAAACCAGCTACCTTGAAAACTTGTGTACTATGACGTCACGCTTTGGTTATCTTTAAGATGTACAGTTTGTCTCAATATCCTAGGATGTGTATACTTACAACACCAGCCAGTTCTTCGGTACAGGACAATGATATATATAAACATAACAAAGAGCAAAAAGACACCACATGAAAATCCCTCATGACTTGAAAGGAGTGTTTGATTTAAGCACAAGGAATGGGCCCACACACATCAGTTTCTTCTTCTTCTTCAGTAGCAGTACAGGCCACCATCAGGTGTATTGTCGTACTGTTGAGGTGCAGTGCAGTTTCTAAAGAATGAAGTTTGCTTTCATAAAATAACACTCCGAGTCCTCTGTTAAGGAATAGAAAGCTATGATCTACATATCTTTGATATTTTATCATGCTATGAACCAGCGCAGCTGAGTGTATTTTATATAAAAGCTGCGCTATACAAATTTATTATTATCATTATTATTATGCTATGGTAAGCCACTCAAAGTCATTTTGCCATTGTCTTTTAAAATAAATGATATAAACTAGTATATCTTAAATATATTTGTTCTTCAACTTTAGACATCATAAAACATCCTCAAGCTCAGAATCAAATAGATGGAAGTTATTTTCAGTTTGACACACACTTTAATGTCTTGCGATCATGTTTTTATTTAAAAAAATAGCATTTGGTCATCACAAATAAAAATACAAATGCAGAATCTGTGGGCCCATTTTCCTGCATTAGAGTGCTAAAATGAAACGCTCCTTACCCACCAACTCTACATCACGATGTCCGTTTCTTATTCAAGTTTCATCTGCAGCTCCACATTCTTCTCCTCGTGGCTATTACTGCGCCGTCGTATTGGTTTATAACCTGTAACAAGTTTCCAGTCTAGTCAGAGAAATGTATGCTGCCACCCCCATCTCTCCAATGGGACATGCCATGGCCAAAGAGGAGGCCATGTTGTCCCACTGGAGAGATGACAGAGAGTGGAAGACAACATTTCAACAAAAGGGGTGTGTAGCCATTTTGAAATGGCATGTTGAATACTAGTAATTATTACCAGTATTAAACAGACATGTACATAAAAGTGGTCCTTACATTGTTGTCAGTATTGAAGAATTTATATCAATATTGATGAAAAAGCAGATGTTGGGTTTTATGAGCTCATAAAACTCCACATCCCCTCTCTCTTTCTCCAGACCTTTTAGTTTCAGTAGCCTTATTGCCATTTTCTACTTGTTAGGGTCCAAACCCTCTTCCCAGATGAGACTGAAGCCACATCTAATAAAGGCAAAGTAGTAATTTCTGCTGATTTTGTGTGGAAATTCACACACCTGTTAAGACATACTTAGTAATGTCATGGGCCACAGAAACATACACCCACACTTTCTGAAAATGTGGTTGTCAACTTGACACGAATGTAGACTACCGCTGGAAACATGTTACAGGTAACAAGGAAATATGATATCAATTGAGAAATATCACCAAACTTCCGTGTGAGTGATGTCTCAAGATTCATTAATATGCAGAAGTGTGGTAATACATCTCAATTAAAAATGTAATAATATTCAGATGATTTTACTTTCAAATTGATTTTCTACCTTGGAATTGTGACAATGCTGGTCTTATTCCTTTTATTACCTATATTCCTGGGGTTTAGTTTCTTGTAACAACTAATAAATGGGAACAGAAAAATAGAAAGAGATTTAAGAAGACTAATGCAAGGAGGAAAGGGGTAGGAGGGGCAGGAGAATTTTTAAGTTAAGAGGAAAGTAAAACAGAAAAGAAAAATACAAGATAAGAGAAATCTTAAGCCAAACCCGTTCAATCTCTCACAGAAATGATCAGTCAAGTAAAAATTATTCAAAGAGTGAACACTGCCTATTGTCAATTCATTCCTAGCATGGTCAAATGGTCCCTAGATCAGTTTGAAGGTTTAAAGCCTGGTTTCTTGGTGAATACGAACCTTCCTAATCCAAGCCTGGTTTTTGCGATTGGGATTACCAAGCTCTTCAGGTCGTAGGAAGGTAGCGTCTGTGCTACCCGTGAACAAACCAGGTTTCTTGCTGCTGTGAGCCCAGGTCTGAATCTAACAAACAGAAAACAACAAATGGTTCAACATTATATTTTCTATTTGCATTTAAAAAAACTTAATATTTTACACAGGGTTCATACTCTTTCTCATAAATTTAATTCCATGACTTTCCATGACTTTTCTAGCCAGAATTCCATGACCTTTCCATGACTTTTACACATTTTTTTTACACGGTAGACTGAAAATTTGATCTCAAATCAAAGCGAAGCAAAGTGCATGTTTCAAGTCTACTAATAGAAAGGCAGCTTTTGTTATCTAGTTATTTCATCTGTTACAATTACATGTTATTTTTTCATCATATTCGATATGCACTGCTATATAATATTCTTACAATTACACATACATGTATTCATATCAACAATTGTCCATTTTTTAATGGCAATTTTCACTTCTAAAGAATACAAATTGCCTGTTCCTGGTTTCATGGACCACCATGATTCCTTCAATAGCTCTCCTTTGCATGTACAAGGTAACTACCCCCCCCCCCCCAAAAAAAGAAAACAAAACAACACCAACACACAAACTCACACACATACCATCACCAATTTTGATTTCACCAACAAAACACAGTAGGCCTACTCACATCAGCTGATGAATTCTTGTTTCGCTAGCATTAAGCTGGTCAATAATTTCTGAATGAGTTTTTTCTTGAGACATCTTCATGTAGCTGTTTGAAAGAAATCCCTCTACACATTGCACCTGTCTGAATATTTGGTGGCATTGGTAACAAACTGTCCAAGTTCTTTAATAATTCTTAATGGCATTCAGCTGTTCATCAATCTGTTTCTGAATTACTTGTAACTGGGATGCCTTCTCCTTTGCTGTACGTCGGAGGCTGTTTGATTTGGAAATACAAGTCAATCTTCCTTGTGACTCTGCTTCCTCAGCATACTTGTCTGCTGAGGTGTGAAGACTTTTCACATCTGCTTGCAGTCTCATTTGTTTGGCCTTTAGTTCTTCCAAACCATCCATCAGTCCTTTTCTCTTTCCTTCTTTCTTTTCCTTTTCCTTTTTACGCCTCTGTTCATCGAGATAGATGTGGTATTTCTGCCTGCCTGCAGACGCAGCCAACATGATTGATTTGTCAATAGTCACATTCTTGATTCCTCCAACATACTTGATATGGTCATAAATGGCCCTCAATGATATCAGTGAGTGTCCCAGGAGATTGTCCTCTTCAACTTCGTTGTTGATTGAGAAACCTCTCTCAATGGAGGCTTGTCCATGGGACAAGACAAGCAACATGCGGACCAACTTTAAGAGGGTCGAATAGCGAGACTCGGACAGAAATTTGCACATTACAGAGTCCAATCTCTCTTTCTTTGGATCAAAGTCTCTCATCTCTGCACTTCTTGATGCCTCATCACATGCTTCTGAGTATTCTCTTAGGATATCGTCACATGAATCCTTAAGTCTGTGGGCATCACTAAGGGTGTTAAGCACCCTCTTCAGCTTTGCAGTGGAGTTTTCTTTGTCTTTTGCCATGTTCTTTGGACTCAAGCATCCTATATTTCTCACAAGTGCATACTTAAGCGGACATCGCTCAATGAGCTTCCGGGTCATTGCAGCAAGAAACTTCTTTGCTTGAGTGCGAAATTCCAGAACTTTCAGCTCACTGATGATATTTTTCGCCTTCAGATCTTTCAGCTTCTTCTCAGTGTAGAATCCAATGTCCAACTTGGCCAAGGGCAGCTGAATGGCCTCACTGCTAACATCTACCTGCATTATCTTGTAAGGAGAAGTAATGGTACTCCTGTCCAGCTTTAAAAATCGCTGCATAAGGGATGCAAGCATTCTAGTAAGGTCTTCAGCTAAAAAGGGCAGCATTGGTGCATCAGTCTGATAGTCTGTTAGGAAAGGATTGACCAGCTTTGCAACAGATATGAAGAAGTACAGTCTTGCTAAGAAATCAGTTATATGAGTACATTTTGAAACAGTTTCAAAGGACTTGTTCTTTGGGTGAGGGATTTTCTTCTCTTCTACTGCTTTAACATACGCACATACACTCTCCCAGATGCTGATTGCTCTCTCTGCAACAGGAAGGTTTTCCAGCCATCGGGTCTTGCAAAACTTAAGTGGCATGGTATGATCTCCAGTTATCTTCTGATAATCCTCTCTTCTGGCAGGGGAATCAGAAAACAGGTAATACAAGGATGATAGAAAGCTTTCCACCTCCCAGTCAGCAGCCTTGGCACCTGTCAGAAAAGCACCATTAACTATATGGAGCCCGCATGAGCCTATATTCAGTATGGATTTGGTCAGGTCAGCAGTGTACTCTCGCGTAAAGTCATCATACATCTTCCAATTAACGTTGGGACCATCCATTGATATTTGCAGTAATTTTTCCAAGCCAACTGTGTGCAGAACTTTATTCAGTTCTTCCTTGAGGTGAACAGCTGAACCATGTCCGATGAACACAGACGTCAAGTAGCGAGTGCAAACTTCATTGTGTTGCCATGTTCTTATGAGGAAGTCCATCTGCTTTTTCTGGAGCTTCTTGTTGAGGCTTTCATCAAACAGTATCACATAGTGGTTTGATTGTTTTATGTTGTCATAAAGGAGGTCTTGCACATATGGGCCCAAACCAAACACCGTCATATACCGACATTTTGTTTCTGACAACGTGAAACCCTTAGCAATAGCTGAGTCCGGAAACATTCTTTGAAAGAGCTCACTGTTGTGCTGGCAAGAATGAAATGATAAATGATCCTCCACCACTTTCAGACACCAGAGTATTTCAGCTTTTAAAGTTTCCTCTCTTGCAGCAACAGGAATGGGAGTTGTCACTTTAGAGGTTGATGGCGCACAAGTACTGGTTGTTGCATCTGTAGACGTGATAGATACTGATGAACTTTCTGCACCTTTTGCCTTGAAGAAGCTCTTGAGTGAGAGAGTAGAATCTAGGAGAAAAGAAAAAAATGTCTATTAAAATAAATAAAATATAAATATCATCATTTGGTAAGATTTAGGGCCGAGTCAAAACGTTTAACTGCCGTTCAAACGACCATTAAAAGCATAAACGTTTTCCTATTTTGACAACCGTTTGACAGTATGGGGAAGGAAAAAAAAAAAAATTCACGGCAACTTTTGGCCAATTGATGTAAGTCACTAAGACAAGTGGACTAATTTTTGACTCATTCCTTAAAAACATATTTTAAAGAAATAGAAAGGAGGAAATACTTCTCAAGGCAAGCAAACTGTTGGACCCAATTGTAAGTACAAAATTTAGTTTTATGATTTTTGGGGTCAATTTTAAGGTAAATTATTATTATTTTTTTTTTCTGCAGTCCACATACAGTGCCCGGTACAACACTGGCGTGTGAGTGCGGAGCCCCCTGGGTTAGCGTTCGGGCTGTTGCATGCAGTAACCTAGCCGGCCCGGCCCGGGGCCGGGGACGCTCCCGAACGGGCTGGTCGCAGTAAGCAGTAACCAATGCCTGCGAGGTGACATCGCATCGCTAAATAATCTCAAATCTTTCATTTTTATATAATTATTATCAGTCATTATTTGGATTCATGCTCAATAAAGGATCGGTAAAATTCACATTAAAAATGCTCACTTACGACGTTGTTGCTGTTGGAGGTTTGCTGTGTGTTTTTCACTCTTCTTGTGGCTCTTGACGGCTGCTTCGCCCATATTACGGACACTGAATTTACACATACAAACAGCACATCTAGCAGTCCCCAGATCGGAACTTTCTTTCAAAATCCAGCCACGGTAATCCGGGTGTTCTAACCAAGCATCCTTAAAATGACAATTTCCAGGCATTTTGAATATCACTTCCACAAAATTTGTAATGGTGAAAATATCCACGTGACGAGTTCCAAGGTCTGTGAAAATAAACAACTCCGTTTCATGAAGAATCAACACATGCACAAAAGTTTCAAAACACATGCCGTCGCGTCGATATATAGATCGTCAACGAGCTAGCGCTGCCAATTTGCCTTGTTGACACGTCAGTATTGTTCCTTTTTTATTTAAATAATGAAAATTAAAAAACAAATATTACTAATTTACTTTTTCCTCATTTATTGGAGAAGTGTAAAAATTGTAGTAGTCTAAGTGGTCGCAATTTAATGCAAAGCCAAAGTGCAATCGAGGCATTACATTCGTTCTTGGAGTGTCACATGTCGCGTTGGCACCATCATCATATGCACACACACACTGCACACGTACACGTGCGCTAGCTTGCTGAACTGAGCTAGCGCTAGCGAGCTCGCTCGCAAGCTAGCCATGTGCGCACGATGTGGACCGTACCGCCATACACTGACCATACACACGTAGTTCGTATCGTACACGTACACACCCACGTACACAGCGCTTATCCATCGATCATAGTGAACACATTCACAAGTACAATCAGTCGGTATGTTACGAATGAAAGAAAATACGAGAAGAAAATGGTTGAAATATCTCCATTTATTCACTTGTATAGTGAGAAAATACTATAGTTGTCCATAATTTTGATATTCCATGACTTTCCATGACTTTCCAATGGAAAAAATAATTTTCCATGACTTTCAAGGCCTTAAAAGCAATAAAGTAAAATTCCATGACTTTCCAGGTTTTCCATGACCCGTACGAACCCTGTTTACAGTATGTATCTTGTATTGTCGAACAGGTAAAAATACACTGTGACAGATTTCTAGTTACTACTTTTTAACTTTTTGCAATAGTACAGTTTAGGTGATATACTAAACATCCTTACCAATAAATAAAAAACACATTTCTAAGGCAAAAACAGACAAGTTCAAATTTATATTTAAAAAAAACTTCTTTTAATTCCCCTGGGAGTAGTGTACAAAATTGAAAGACTATTTGAGAATAATTTGTTCTATGTAATAATGCATAAACATCTACCAGGAACAACATAAATGAATAGGGTTTCAATCATTCCTCGGGGGATAAATGTGTCAGAACACCATTCAAATTTACTGTTTAACAGTAGCTTGAATTGAATGTTACAAAGCACAAAGATTCTTTTCAACTGACCTGTTTTTGTGAGTGATGCAGAACAGTGAGTGCCTCCACGTTATTAGGATTGGACTGCAGAGCCCTAGCAGCCTTCAATCTAGCAGACACGATCTGGCCAATGTCGTAAGACTGCAGGAAAAATGACAGAAGAAATATACACATGTATTTCTAAATGAACAAATTGATGAAAGCATGTTAGGCTGAAGAATGACCAATATAAAACAAAGACATTTTGTCCCCCAAAGATATCTGTAAACAATAAATATAAGTTCTCTAACATACTTTCCACACATGACATTAGTACTTTACAAAATCTAGTGAAGTTGACATTGAGGCTGTCAGGGCACTTGAAAAAAATCCTAACAGAAGAGGCGTAAATATGCACTCCTGAATGATAAACGCCTATAAACCTAAACAACAACAAAACAATAAAGAGCATTTATCTCTGTTTTGGGTATAATCATGTTGTACGCAGTATGTTGGTTTTCAGGCAACAAGCCATTATTGCAATGTATTCCTCTGGTGCAAATGATAAATAGATCTATCAGCGTTATAAAATAAATGTACGCTTTTACTGCTAAGTTTGACTAACCTTGACAAGCTACTAGAATGTCAAAGGGCGATGTTTGTTTTCAACTTATACGGTATGTTGCTGTATTATTATTGCGTAAGAAGCAGTTTTGGGAAAATGGTGATTGTCTTTGCATGGTTCACACTCGAAGAGCCTACAAGATTACAATGAAAACTAAGAGCACTGCAGAATAAGAAGTACTCACAGCACGGGAACGAAATGCATACAATATGAAATGTATTTGAAATAATTAGGTTGAATTTGAATTACTTTGGAAAAGTTTAAATAATCAATTACAACATCTTTGGAAAAAAAAAATAAGAAGTACTCACAAATCCTGGTGAATCTTCAAAGACTTTATCTTTCTCTGGTACTGGCTGTGGTGGTTGGCTGTTGGTCAGCCCCGGAATGTGAGGGCCAGCTACCACAGGCGCCACAGTGGCAGCAACTGCAGGAACCATGGCTGTTGCTGCTGGGGTGGTCTGAGTTGCTGGTGTGGCTGCTGGTGTTGCTGCTGCTGTGGTGGCTGGTGTTGCTGGTGGTTGGGGAGTACTAGCTTTTGTGGTTGGTGCTGCCGCTGGTTTAGGCGTGGGTTTCTCCACAGTCTGTTAATCAAAATCATTAAGTCAAGCTAAGTAGTAAAAAAAACCATCTAATTTCCTCACATTACATCATAATGAAAATACTTCATCAGAGAAATACACAAGCACTTGACTTACAAGCAAATAAAGTCTCATTATTGCTTATTTAGCTTAAAAATTGACCAAATAGAATTTGAAATTGAATTAAATTATGTCCACCCTCACATCGTTCCCACACACTTGCACTACTTCAATATCAAGTTCAAGTTCAAGATCAAGTTCATTTATTCAAATATCACATACAATTAGAAATAGTTGTCTGGGGGTGGCAGGAGGGATAATGTACATGTATGTGGCTAATACCATGGGGGGGGGGGGGGGGGTCATGACTGGATGAATGTATCTTCAAGCGAACCCACCACGTAGCAATCATACTCACTTTCCATTGGCCATAGGGATCGTTTGCATTGCCAATCACAATCTCGACTTCTTTCTTACGATGTTGAGAGCCACACGACACTGGGAACTGTACTCTCAGCTTGTCCTTACTCGCCACAGGAATCTGGATTGCATTCTGAAAATATTATAAGTGTTCAAAGTCATTAAAGGTATTACAAAGTTTTGGTATGGGGTCATGAATTTGGTTCAAATGAACATATTAGAAGCATATGTAATTTTACAATATTCAATGATCATTGTCACGGTTGAAATCGAGTCTAAAGTGATGAAATTGTAAATAATAAAGTCTTTATGTTGTATTGCGCCCTCTCAAGACTGATATTTCTTTAGCTTCAAAACAATGTTTTTTTTGTTGCTACAATCGACCGATTTGCTATTCCCGTTGGGAAATTATATCAGAACTGCATATTCTTAGATTTTCATGGTCCCAGCTATCATGGAATGACCTTAGGCGCTATTTGAAATATTTGAAATTTACCCGGAGCACCGGTAAATTTTTTATCATTCAATTTATTGGAAGCAGAAGTGTTTTGGGGGCTAAATTTTCTAGTGCTTATAATAAATTCACAGGGCCATCCAAATATATCAACATTTTAAAGAATTACTATGAATCCAATTTTCAAAATTTCCCAAAACTTTGCATTACCTCTAAAGCACAATACGAATCAGTTTGGAGGAAAGTAGGGTTTAGTTTAATTTCCACTTTTAGAATGCCATTAGGCCCTATCGTCATTTTCATGTGACATCTTGTGACCTTTCCAACCTTCTCAACCCATTTACATTTACAACCCATTTATCATCTAAAGACATGTTATGTGCTACATGATATTCAAAGGACTTGTTATCCTCCCAACTATATCATTATAACTTAATTCAATTTTAGATGAATGTAAATTGTCACAAAGCAATGTATCGACTCTATACCATTCCAAACATTTAAGTGTTGAAATAGTTTTCAAAGCCTGTTTGATGTCTTCTTTTCATGGAAAAAAAATTGGTTGGGAGAATTTACTGTTAGAGGGTGTCGTACAGTGACGCCTTCAAAGAAAACCATAAATATCATTGTGGTTTGAGTTTTTTCAGGATTTTTTTGCTAGAGGGTTAGTAAAGTAGAAGGAATATAATAAGTAACATTTCATGGTAAAATTATGCAGTTTTTTCATCGACAATGTTACCGGTTCACTTGAAGATTTAACAGCATTTGTTATAAATGTAAGAGCAATATGGAAAGGATCGAATGGTTTAATATTCATTTACCCTGATGTTCATCACGATGGGAGCAGCCTCTTTGACCTTGAAAGGATGTCTCACAAACGGTTTCTGAGCCTCGTTCCCATCTTCATCTTCATCATCTGAGCCCACTGGTCTGTTGACCGGTGAGTCATCGTCAGAACTGCCTCCTTGAAGATTAGCCAATGCCTTGCATCGGTCAGTGAACTTCTGGATGGATTCGTTGACTTCAACTGTTTGATAAATGATAACAATTACAGGAGCATCAATGCAAGTGATGGCTACAATAGCAGTTTAAAAATGGTTGCAATAAAAGTTTTGATACTTGAATAGCTCACAGAAAGATTGGGAAGATTTGCGTTAATTACTTGCACTGCCTCACATGTACCCCATTGTTGTTTCATCAACATTTTCAAGTTTATTTCATTAAATTGACTGGATTGTAATCTGAAAATGCTCACAAGAGCGAGAAATAATCATTAGATCTGTGTAAGTCAATTAATAAATGTTTGCATCAGATCTGTGGCAAAATGATAGGTAGATTACAAATGATGGAAGACACAAGTATACAAAGGTGAATCTGAATTAAAGTTCTATTGGTACTTAAAAATATCTTACAACTCATTTGTCGCATTAACTTTGAATACAAGTGGTCATAAATTGATATATGACAAGAAGTCAACTTACATGAGTCAGCTGCTTTCTTCATGGATTCAGTAATAGGCAAGTTAGATGGCAGGTCTCCTGCTCTCATTCTCATTAAAGCGTTAGCCTTGGCAATCTCCAACAGTTTCTTCTTGTCAATATGAAACTTGGGGGATCTTGACCTTGAACGCGACCTAGAATGTGACCTTGAATATGAACGTCCCCTTCTACGACTGTATCCATAGCGCGGATTCCTATCATCATGTCGGTCGTTGTAACGACCTCTACCACGACTGCTGCTCCCGCCACCAAGTCTGTCAAACACGCTTCTTCTGTCATGAGCAGGATGACGGATGTAGGTGTCTCCAATGTCATATGGTTCGTTTCCATCGCCAACTTCAGGAGATGGACTATCGTCTTCTTTAGGGACCATCCGAGTTACCCAGCAGCCTCGCGATTCACTGAAATAACTCTTTTCCACCATTCTGGTTGTTCCAATGCTTATATCGCTATCACCATCATCATCAGAACGTGATTTTGAGCGTGATCCTTTGTGTTTTTTGTGAGAACGGGAGTGAGAACGCGACTCTGAACGCGACTCTGAACGCGAATCAGAATGCCTCCTCTTGTGTTTATCTCTGGAATCACTTCTGTCTCGACCACTTTTGTCTCTCTCCGTTCGGTCTTTCTTATCCCTCTCACTTTTATCTTTCTTCTTATCCTTCTTCTTGCTTTTCTTGTGCTTTTTAGTAATTTCACCTTCTTCAATTTCACTGTCAATTGCTCCTTCCTCTTTGTCATCTGATTTGTCTTTTTTCCTCTTCTTTGAAGTTTTGTCACTTTCTTTCAGTACATCCTTGTTCTCCACTGCCTTTTCAATAGATTCTGCATTCTTGTTGGGTTTTTCTGTGGATGAAGTTGTACTAACAGCACCATCTTCTTTCTGCTCACAGACGGAGGAGTCTTCTGTGCCCTCCTTGTGTCCGGCACTTTCTGAACTTTTTGAGAGTTTAGCTTCTGTATTATCAATGACTTCTGAGTCATCAACATCACCACTAGTCTCTATTCCCATCTTCAAAACAGTCTCCACTTTGGTGGCAGAACTCTCAAGCTGTTTAGCAGGTATTGGCGAGTCCTTCACACTAATGAACTCTATCTGCCTAGAAGAAGCTGTGGTGGCACTATCTTTGACAGCAGTATCACTGGAGCATGACCGTTCATCTCGAGTCACTTCAGATTTTTCTGCACAAGATGAGTTCATTGAGGATTCACTCTCATTAGTTGCATTAGTTCCAGAGGTGACATCTGCTTGCTTTTCAGTATTATCTGCGGAACTGTTTTCTTCCTCTAACTTCTCTTTTCTTTTGACTGCACTTTCTGCAGGGGCATCATCCGATGGTGGCACAACCACTTCAATAGGAGTGTCAAGAGCTGCCTGAATTTCAGAGGATTGGGTCTCATCTGAAACTGACATCTCACTTTTCATATCATCCTTCTTTCCAGACTGGACCTTATCACCTGGATCCTCAGCATATTCTTCTGCAGATGGAAAGTCATGTTCAAGATGGTCTATCTTAACTTTGGTCGATACCTGATGCTTCTTGGAGTGGACCTGCTTTTTATCTTCCCTGTCTTTCTCTTTCCTTTTCTCCTTGTGTCTCTTTTCTCCTTTCCTACTTTCTTCATGCCGACTCTTCTCTTTTGTAGCATCCTTTTTCTCCTCCTCTCTTCTAAAGCTTTTCCTCATGTCTTCTTTTTGTATCTCCTCTTCCTTCATTTTTCTCTCATCATGATTATTCTTTTCACTTTTGTGACTTGAATCACTTTTGCTGCTTATGCGAGTCTTGACACTATCATCATTGGAAAACATTATTGTGAAACTTCCTCCTGCACGTGTAGGGTCTGTACTTTCTCTTACGGTCTTGCTTTCTTCCTTTGAATCAATCTTGGAAGGTTTTGCCTTCTCATCACTTTCGATTACACTTTTACTTTCTTCCTTTTGGTGTTCAGCTTGCTTTTCTTTCGTCCCACTAGTACTTCCTTCTAATTGTTTTGATAAAGGCACACATTTATCATCCTCTTTAATTTTCTCAGGTTTTCCACAACTTTCATCATGGGACAGCTTCTCAATGCTCCTTGACCTTCTTTCATGCTTGTCATCGGTTTTCTTTTCTTCTTTATCCTTAACTTGATCCATTCTTCCCACATCCTCATTTCTTCTCTTATTGTCTTCTCTCACATCCTTTGTATGACTTTTTTCCTTGCTGCGACTTCTACTTTCAATATGACTTCTAGATTTGTCCTTTCTCTCTTCAGTTTTAGTCTGTTTATCCTTCCTCACATCTTCTTTCAAGGGGCCCTCATCCCTTGCTTCCTGTGCTTCCCTCTCTTTACTAGTTTTTCTACTGGAACTTGAACTACTCTGCCTTTTACTCTCTTCCAATTTTTCATCTTTTTGTCGCGATTCCTTCTGCTTTTCATCTTTGCTCCTTCTCCTGCTAGAGCTTGTTTTATCTCCTTCATGTTTAATGTCAATTATTTCATTTCCTGATGCTGTTGAATCATTCTCTTCTCTTGTCCCTTGTTCGGAAGTAGTCCCTCCTTCATTCTTCAAATCAGAAGCACTATCCTTTCGCTTTTTGTCTTTGTGCTTGTGCTTACTCTTTTTCTTTTTGCTTTTCTTATGTTTGTGCTTCTTGTGTTTGCTCTTGTGCTTGTGTTTGGAAGACTTTTTCTTATCTTCCCCCGTCTTTTCCAAGACTTCTTTCTCCTCTTCTATAGCCTTCTCCTCATTCCCACCTGTCTCCTTTACATCTTCTTCTTGCTTCTCTTCCTCTTCATGTGATGATTCGCTCAGCTCTCCATCTTCAAGAATGGTCCTCCATGGCAGCCCAGCAGCAACCTGATCATCATCACTATCATTACCATCATCATCGCTACTGCTGTCAGAGTCAGAGTCCAAGCCATCTTTTGCCACCTTCTCTGGTTCTTGTTGCAGCTCTATCAATTTAGTTTGGATGTTTATCTTGATCATTTTCTTTTCACCTGATATTGGTACACTCTTCTTCTCTGCACCCACTTCAACATCAGACTCTTCTTTTTTGCTCAACTGTAAGCTCTTGAATTGAAGCTGATCTTTTGAGGACTCTTCTTTCATGAACTTTGTCGATCCAGAAAGTTTCTTGTTCTCTGTCCCATCCTGTTTTTTGATAAATGCTTCATTATTCGCAAGAAAATCTGTTCTCTTGGGTACAGATGGTACAGGTGGTGACTTGACAGATCCACTGCCTCCTTTCCCAGCTGCAGACGTCACTGCGATGGATGCGTCTTCCTCGTACAGCCTCATGAGTTTCTGTACTTTACTACTGTCTCCTGAAGTGGATTCATCAAGATGTCGCTTGGTGTTTTTCGTGGAATCCGACTTGACTGCCTGTGAATCTTCAGCTTTCTTTGATGATCCTGATATCATCTTGGAGGTAACCCTGTTGATTTTGATCTTCGTTGACTTCGGACTTTTACCATCACTATCGTCATCTTTTTTGCTCCTGAAAAAGAAAAGATAAAATTACAGCTTTTGAAGTTATAAATAATATGCGGCGCACAGGAATACTTCCCAATACAATACCCCTCTTAAGCCTGGCACTTTGAATGGTGACTTTAAATTTGTTTAAATGCGCAAGCAATACAAAAAAATATAAAGTCCAAATGGTAAGGGAGGAAACATACAAATAATTTCTGGGTGAAATACTCACAAAATAAGAAATTGGCAAGAATCAGTGCATAGTGTGCCCTGCTGAATGAGAAAATTCTAGGATAACCTAGCTAAATTACAAATTTGAAATTCATTTTTGTTGGAATCATACATTGGCCAAAATGTGCTACAAAGTGTATACCACACAAAGGATTCAGCGATGATTTTCTTGATGCATTTCACATTAAACTTTGGACAGAGACGTTCACGTTATGAGCGATAAATCCTCGGGAAGACGGACAACCCGTAAAAGTAAGACGGTGAACTGGGGAGAACCCGAAACCCGCAGAGCCGACAAAAAAACGTCAGAGAAAATATGGACGATCCATACATGTATATTTTTGGGGGGACGCTTTTCTGTTTTTGTGCGCATTTACGAGGATATCCTCGTTTAAGCGAACGATCCTCATTCTCGGACCAGCGCCCCTTCTTCTGTAGACACTATCATGAAATAGAAAACCACCATTCGCTCCGCACAGTAGCGCTTCATTGCTTCACACTATCATTATAATAGACCATCGCTATTCACAGTTTATCACACACAAATATAAATAAGCGTGGGCGCGGACGAGAAAGTAGTTTCCAAAACCAGCATGATATTGATAGCCCAATTCTCCACATATGGTCTTAACCCAGACTTCTAGCAGCCGAAAAGTGAAAACAAATATTAAACAAACAAGTGATCGTCCTCGCCCAACTTCCATAGCTCAGTCACAACACCAACATACAGATACCAAATACAACTAGAAATGCAATCGTGTCACAACGATGTGCGTGCAATGACGCCGTGTTTCTACGTGTCAAACGAAAGAGCTTCTCTCGGACTATCCAGAGCAATTTGTTCGAAGTCTGTAGCTTCTGTGATATTGGAGATAGGTAGGGCGAAAGAAAGGCCTCAAGAGTGACCTTGATGGCATGGTAATGACTACGCCTACGAAGTTTGTAAGAAATTGGGATAGGGGAAAGAACCTAGAAAGAGTTACTAACACTGCGTGCAAAAACAAGGGGATTTGGTGCATGTTCGTCATTGCAATAAACATCGTTCTGGGGGCCAAAAGCGTGAACCCGATATGCCCCATAGACAATGCGTGTAATGAATGGGCGGAAAACGTACAGGATCTGTATTATGACCGGAGTTAAATTGTTTTTTCTCTCTCTCTTTATGTCTCTTTATAGGCCGTATTTGGTATCATTAGAAAGAGAATTTCATGGTTGTTATTGTAAACTACTCTCTTTTTATCTATGATAATCCTATCGAAACACGTGATGTAAAATAGATTTATAGAACAAAATGGCGTCTTGAATGGCCCCCTTGACCAATTTCGAAAATCCGGCCAAGAGGTGCCCTGCGTATTGGAACTCGGCATGCCACTGCAAATTTTCAAGGAAAAAAAAGGACATTTAGGGGGCGAAAAGCAGTCTGAAAAAATGACGTCATAGCCGATACGTGTTAGATTCGGGCGGAATTCGTGTAGTGACCTTTGTTAAAATGCGATTTACTCACAATTTTCTGTGTGAACATATACTGTACTTGGTATCATGCGAAAGGGCACTTCATTGCGGTCAGTTTGACACTATTGTTATCTCCGCCAAATGTATTGCACGCATTTAACGCGCTATAACGTAATGCATAGTAAATTCATCATTTTTAGCGATAACTTTGCGCTGACGTTATTAAATTTACCAAACTTGGCAGACAGTTGTCACGTATATGGATACATGTGTCTGCCAAGTTTTCATTGACGTAGGTATAAAGATCGCCAATTTAGAGCAAGTTGAAGTTATTTTGGAATTTTCTTGAAAATGGCGAATTTGGAGGGCATTTTTCTCAAAGTCGGTCAGTGTTAGGGTATATAATTTTGTATATGGCTGGAAAGGGCATATCTTTAAAGATCTAAATCCAAAAAAGGGTACGGGTTTGCCAAGCCATAATGGAGATACGGCCACAGAAAGAAAGCCAATTCCCAGAACTTTAGAGGGCGCTATTTATGTTTTGCAAAGCCATTGGAGCGTGAAATTTGGCATGGCTATGTGCAATTATGAGATAAGGATAGTGTGGGATTTAAATACAAAACGGAATTTATATGACAAAGTTATGGCAGTTTTAGATTATTTAGGGGTCCATTTTTCAAGAATTTGAGAGATTTTTGACGGAGTCGGTTTCAGATTTGAATTTTGAGTATGAAGATGGCATTTTGAAGGGCAGGTTATACGTCGCAGATGAAAGAACATCTCTTAGACTATCTAGAGGAATTTGTTAAAAGTTTGTAGGATCTAGGATAGTGGAGATAGGAAGGAAGATAGAAAGGCCTTAAAATGGACCAGAAACGGACAAAATGGCGCCTGGACGTTTACGCATGAGTGATTTCAGAAAACGAAAAAGTAGGTGACCTAGATTGGAGATCACAGATTACGCCTACGAAGTTTGAAAGGAATCGAGCAAGAGAAAAGGACCTGGATAGGAATAACAAGCACTACGTGCAAAGCGAATGGGATTCCGGACGACAAGAAGAAGAAGAAGAACCAAGAATATTAATAAGAAGAATGTGAACGAAAACAAGGCAATGACGAAGGTTCGTCATTGCAACAAGCTGCTAGCTGGAGCGGAGCCCTGGGCAGCCACGCCAACCCCAGAACACCCGGCATAACTTGGGCCCTAGGCCCGTGTTGAGCGGCCAGCGCGCAGCGCTACATAGGCATAGCGACGAACAAAATATTTCGATAATAAAGTGACGTTTAACCATTAGATCTTTAGCATTCATTGACAATCATTCAACACATCAAAAACCCATAGACAGCATGAAAAGAATAATGTGGTAATGTTACTTTTGAGCTCTCTCCGTTTCAAGATCACGCATCTTTTGGAGGGCGAAATCGCGTAGAGCATCTCGCAGGTTCTCCGCCATCTTTATTTTTTTTCCTTTTTTGTTTGTTACCTTTTTCAATTTTGTGTGTTTTCTTTTTGCTAGAGACAAAAATAATACCCCGCAACTACCCCGGGACGCGTTATTTTTTTATGCGGCACAGATTGGGGCATGGCCAAGTCAATTACCCCCAGAGCAATTTAACCCCAGGCCGTTTACCCTAAGAACAATTTTAACGGGACAGGGGGCAGAGTGGCGCCACTTTATCAAGTAGGGCCTACCCCCCCCCCCCCCTCCACACGAAATACCCTTATTTGTTTATGAAGAGTCTTTTTTTTTTTTTTTAGATAACTGATAAGTGCCCCTTTTAGCTATGTTTCCATCGTCATTCCTATCTCAAAAGAAAGCCTTGTTGTAGACATAATGATAGATTCCGCTACTATAACTCCAGCATATTGTGAGGGGCGGGCACAACGCCCCCCCCCCCCAACAAAAAAAAAGAAATGATAAAAACCATTTGAACGAGCAGCAACCCTAATTTAAAAAAAATGATGGTAATTTGTACTCAAATTTGTCCTAAGCTCGCTCACTTATTTTGATGATATATAATTTATTTTAAATATCTCATAAAAATAATTATCGTAAGCTTCTATTGAGGAAAAGATTACCATCCATGTTGTTAAGTTTCTTGAATAACATCTAATTTTGTTTGCAATTTTTTTTTTTTTTTTTTAATTATGCAGTATGAGGAAATGATAAGAAAGCTGCCAGCGGGGTAGGTGTGTAGTAGGGGTGTAGGTGTGTTGGGGGGGGGGGGGGGCGGGGACACGTCCCCCTCGATTATTTTTTTTAGGGGGGATCGTCTCCCCCCCCCCCCCCTCCCCCGGAAAATTTGAAAAAGTGAGAAAAAATATGTATAGCAAATACTGACTAAAGACTGCAACAAACTTTAAGGCTCTTAAAGTGCAGCGTTTAGACAAATAAAAATGCAAAAATCTTCTCGCTCGGTACCTATATGCTCCCTCGCATAATATCCTTCAAAGTGTTCAAGTAAAAAAAATGGTAATATTGTAAAAAAAAAGTGAAGATTGAAAAAAGGAAATTGCTGGTTTTTATAGTATAGTTTTGCTAAGGAATGTATTTTAATACAACAAAACTTCATAAACCAGTAAGGGGGTTGTCACTTCCGTCACCTTCACCCCTCTCGTTTTCTATGCTCCCTCGCACTGGCGTAATGATTGGGGGGGGGGCTTGGGACAGTTGCCCCCTAATAAATTCAAACGTAGTTTATTTTTAATACGGTACCGGTGATTTACAAATGTTGCTGAAATGGCATGTTTTTAAAAGTTTTAGAAATGTTTTAAAAGCCCTAAGGCGGGCCCCTAGTTGCTCATCTGACCGTAACTAAATGCCTACAAATCCTGAGGTTCCGGGGGCTCCGCACCCGGGACCCCACCAGGACCTTAAGGCAGGCCCCTAGATGCGCATCTGAGCGTAATGAAATGCCTAAACCTGATCTTCCGGGGCTCTGCCCACTGGACCCCACCCAGGGTTCTAAAGCAGCCCCAGGATGCTCATCTGATCGTAATTTAATGTCTTAAACCTCTTACGTCCCCTTTACCCCACTCCAATTAGTGACCTGCATGCAAGTGTCATAAATAAGGTATCAAAATATGCTCATCCGACCGTAATTAAATGCCTAAAACCACTGAGCTTCCGGGGGCGCCGCCCCCTTAACCCTACCAGATAGGACCCTAAGCCGGCCCCCTCGATGCTCATCTGATCGTTATTAAATGCCCAAAATCCCTGAGCTTCATTGGGCTATGCCCCTGGACCCCCACGCCAATTTACGCTCCACTTGATTCCCGCTTTGCTCTACCTGATCGTAAATACTTAGCCGCCCCCCCCCACCCACTTTGAAAAATGTTCCGCGGGGCCTGCAAGTAAAACATGTAAGAGTGGGGGTGATGCGGATTTTTTTTCTGCCCTCCCCCCCCCCCCCCCCCCCCCCCAAAAAAAAAAAAAAAAAAAAAAAACGCCACTGCTCCCTGATCCCTCGCATTTCGTCCCCCAGTCATGAAAAGAAATCGCCACCCCTGGTAATAAGGATAAATTATATAAAACTGCCCTAAAATGCATTTTCGGTATAAATTATAATTTTTCGCTGAATATGATGCAAAACCCGTGTTCAAAGAAGAACAAAATATTCAGATCATTATACGCACAACTGCTAAGTAGTTGGTATATCGAACCATTATAATAGAAATTACAATGAAAACGATCCTCCGTGTTTGCTCATAAGTTTACTTTAATTCCCCCTCTCCGGCCTCTTGGGCTGGTATCAGTAACTTCCTCATCATTTTAATGATGTGTCAAGATACAATATTTATTTACAAAACACAAGTTACAAAATATACGAATACGAAGAGACCACCTTACTGTCTGTAACTGAGATGGTGGCATGATCGAGTTTAGTCATTTCAGAATTATCGGGGGATATGGGGCTTCAGACCCCCCCCCCCCCCCCCCCCCCCGCCTCTGATACTCCTTGACAACTACTTCCGGAAATCCCGCCCCTTCCCTTCTTACTTTGACACAAAGAACTTCGTCTGGAAATGTTGGCATTGTGTATATAGTTCGAGGAGAGGCAGCCTTATGCTCGTGCAGTTTGCTTTCAGAGCTCGTCTAATGATGAAATATTAAAAATGTATCGTTATTATTAATTACATAACAAATAATTCAATTTGCAATTCGACCGTCACGGTTTTAGAAATATATAGTATATACTGTCGTAAATAAAACAGCTGGATTGAAGATGTTTAGAGTTTCAACTTACTCTCACTGGTTTAATGTAAATTTCGTTAAATATTGAATTAAAAAATACAAACAGAAAATATACAATATATTCATATTATATGCTATTGTCTTTTTATCATTTTGAACTATTATGATATGATATTTGAATTAGTCTTTGATTTTGAGTCATGCTGCAGTACTTGGCCGAAAAGTATATACTAGGCAGTATACAGTGAATAAAATTAATAGCGAATGCTGGGGACATGTCTTCTGGTAAAATTAGAACACTGTGCTAATTGAACTTCTCCGTCACCAACAAATAATCAATTCCACTAACTCCTGTGTACAACGACTGGGTGTTACAAGGAGAAGGAGAATCGAGAGCCAGCAAACTAATAATGAACACGAGTGTGGGTATCTCAGGAAGATTATTGAAAAGAGGGAAACAGGCAGACAGAAACAGAGAGAGAGAGAGAGAGAGAGAGAGAGAAGGAAGAGGGAAAGGGGGAGGGGGAATAGAGGAGCAGGAGAGGGGCGGGAGAGGAGGAGACAATGAGAAAGATATAGTGAGATATAGAGGGAGAGAGAAAGAGAGAAGAGGGAAAACTAGTAGACAGAGAGAGAAAGAGATAGAAAGAGAGAGAGAGGGAGAGAGAGAGAGAGAGAGAGAGAGAGGAGAGAAGGGGAGAAGGAGTGTAAAAGAGAGTTGGAGAAAGAAAAGGATAAAGACCGTGAGAAAGAAATTCAAAAGAGGCAGAGAGGGAAGAATATTTATTTTGTAATGGTAGATGTAGATTAAATGTGTTGCCAGTTAAAAAGAAATTAAACTAATGAGAAGGACAGTTAAAACACAATGTTTATTCAATATCTTATTCGAGCTAAAAGAAGAATGACATCTTTTCTAACCTTTTAACACGCGATAGTGATTGTATAATAATATTATAGTACATGATGATGTTACTGCTGATTACAAATACAGAATGTCGTGATATGCAAATCTATGCAGCCACTGTAATCACAGAGGGAAAACTTTATTGATTGTATTCCATTTCACAAACTAGATAGCTTGGCATCGTCCCATACAAATAGGACTAATTTGCGAGTTCGGTCTATTGGCATGTAACTGATTTCCATTATTGATCTGTGTAAAACCAGTACAGAGGTTTTGTTTATAATGCTGTCATCGTATTTATAGTATTTAGGCCTACACGTCACCGTGTAGCTTTGCATCTCTCTCCCTCGGGGTCACACGAACATTCGGGGACACTCTGACTTGAACTTCTGCTCAATAATCCAGGTCTTTTGGTATAGGAGGGAAACCTCGTCTCAAGTTTCTGCATTTCCCATCTTCTTCGCTCGACCTTTTCTTCCAAATACCATTAGAGACCAACCTGCAGACATTACATCAAGTTCGTGCCTCCGGTTAAGGCATTATTAATGCTCCCACGCAAGGGATAGAGTACTTTTCAAGATTTCCAATATTTTTCTGGAGGAGGAGGAATTCGCTCGGAATACGGAATCGGGAATAACATTATGAGGGGAAGAAGTTGCTTATATTAATACTATCTAATTAACAGGACATCCTTTGGCGAGTCCCGTGCGAAACCATATAATGGGAGAGGAAGCCATATAATCATCGTCTGTCGATGACTCCAAGACGGAAACCATTAATGTTACTGGATCCTGCACTTTGGACATTGGAGCCATTCTTTGGAGCTACATAGTGGAGTATAATAATAGTATACGTCGTTGGTATATGAGGATATTCGGGTTACGATTGGTGAATAAAGGATTTCTAATATCTGGTGATTTGCAATAATATTTATAACGAGACTCAGCAAAGAGATTTTTCACGGATTTCATTGATAGTGCATACAATAATTATCATCTTCAATATTTGGCAGGACCACAAAGAAATTCCCATGCAGCTCTATAATAATGTTTTTGGGGAAAGCGTTCGAGTGAGTTCTTTGACGTCATAATGTCTTCAAGACGGGTAATACCAGTTTGTTAATATATACCAGACATAATTTTATAAATAGAATTTCATCATTGAAAAGTTGTCACATTTCAGAACGTGCTATGCATGCAGGTCGACTTTGGACGGCGAATACAGCATAGAGTCAATCCGCAAGAAGTGAGTTAATATCTCACCTAGATGACAGTGTGCAAGGTCCGTATAGATGCAGCTGGCGTCCAAACTTGAAACCAAGACTCGTCTAAAATAATACACGGAGATACTGTGACGCAAACGTGCTCAAATGAGGTATATTGGATTTCCTTGGTCTCTGTATATTGTTGGGATTTAGTGGTACACCGCTTGCAGTAATGGTGAAAACGCATTATGCAGTGCAATGGTGTGAGGAGTATTTCTGAATACCGAATAATGTAGGAGAGGATAACAATATTAATCCTTTCAGGATATACCCTGACAAAAGATTGAAAGATTTTTTTAAAAGGAATAAATGAATAGTGGTAACATTTTAATCAAAATTTGGCAATATAACATAATAATTGCCTCCAAAGCAAACTACATCAGTGATTGTATCAATATTATAGAACACATGAGGCTGATCCAGCAGGGTGGGGGGGGGGGGGGTACAAGTTCGAAGAATCTCTGACATTAAAGGGCACATTTAGTTCTTAGGAATGCCAGAATGAATTTTAGCGGGACAGAGCCTGACCCCTACCCCAACCTGGATCCTCCACTGATAATGGTCCAGTGATGCAAGAATATTATCAAATCGGACATTTTTTATCATCTGAAAACTCTATTTCCCTAATGATAGTTGAACATCCTTTCATAAAATTCGATGCTGTAATTAATACAATAGTTATTCATATTTCGCTTTTTCAATGTATATTCAGATATTGCGTAATAATTAACATTATTTTCTATGTGTCTTTAATAACGAAAGTAATTAAGCCGGATGGTTGCTATGTTCCATGCGTTTAATAAACATTCTGCCGATCGATCAATCAATAATTGTTTAGCACGTGAATGGAATATTCGTTACGTCATGGATATAAAGTGCATACTATTCTATGAAATATGCAATATTGAACCCGGCTATTTTGACATTTCATCGGCATTATCTCTAATTTCTAGCACATTCGCATGTGTTCCCCTGAAAAAAGGTATGCTAATTCATAATGGCTTGCAGGAGTTGGCACGTCATAACAATAAAAGGTGCACATTTTGTTGAACTGTTCTTCTGTTCAGAGGTAGATCGATTGGGGGGGGGGGGCAGGCCCGACACGAATCGCTTTGTTTTTTTTTGTTGGTTTTGTTTTTATCTGTTTTTTCAAATTTTTAAAATACTTTCGCTTTTTTTTTCTTTTTCCTTTTGCTTTGTTTTTTTCTTCAATTTTATTATCCTTTCTTTCTCTTCCTTTCTTTTCTTGTTTTTGGGGTCTTTTGTATTGTTATGTTATGTCATTATAGATATCTTTTTGGTTTCGTTCGTTTTTTGTATACTTCCCCATAATAGGCGTATATAAAAGGATGCATGTGCGTGTACCACCCCCCCCCCCCGCCTTATACACGGAAATCCTGGACCAGTCCGCTTCTTCACGGTCAAAAGGCGTGCAAAAATATTAAATGCGTAAGCATTTCCAAAGATGCGACTTATGCATACTTTTTTAATGTGTTATCGCATGCTCATCCAAAGCGGCGAATCAACTCCATGCAGTCATTTTTTCGGAAGGGGGGGGGGGGGGGGGGGGGTGGTGAAACACCCCCACAAACGATTATACCCCAGTCGCTCCTTCAAGAAACATTGAGCGCAGTGGAAATTTATATCACTGTAGTAATGCGGTTCAGTGGTCAAGTCTCCGGACTGTGAGCCATAATGGTTTGAATCCCTGCCTCCCCCCTAACGGTACTTTGGCAAAGCCTTAATCTACATTTGTCATGCTCGCCACTGGTTTAGTAAATACCTGGTAAGATTTATTCCATGAATGTTATGAGCATTATAAATAGGTTACCGTAGCTATACTGGGGTAATGATGTAAAAAGGTTCATGGTATAAAATTTCTTTATCAACTTTTGAGTATTTGCCATAATTATTATAATTTATAGTTTATCATCCCTGTATATATTTCTTCATTACAATCATCATCATTATCATCAACAGCAGCAACATCGTCACCATCATCAGCATCATCATCATCATCATCATCAACATCATCATCATTATCCTTATGCTTTTAATTATTTGTCCATTCTGCTTAGTAGATAATATTCATATATTTCATAAGATTTGTTTTGGGCTGTCATATTTTCTAGCAAATACAATGGCAGTCTTTCTTACGCAAAATAATATTGTTAACCACTTTATTGTATATGATAATTTGAAAATTTATCTTCTTCTTCTTTTCCATAATAGTTGTTATGTATATATCGATTAATTTATGAATAATTTTGAAAAAGTACTTCTTAGTATTTTATGTTTGTGTGATACCGGAAAATGTTTATATTAATTTTTATATGGAAAGCAGAAGAAAATAATTAAAATAAAATCAATTCAAATATAAAAATCCTTTGGAAGCGGATATAGACGTTATTTCTTAATGTGTTATCAATATCGGCATATTTTTAAAACCTTTTTATGCATTTTGACTGATGTTATACGCCACAGAGCCGGGTGATAAGGAAATAAATCAAGAGCTCGAGAAGACTTGAAGATGGATAAATCGAAGCAGGCTATGCAGTACACAGTGGAGGCTATGCAGTATCTCGTTGGAGGCAGAGCACGTCATCCAATCAGGTAATGGTCTACACATAAAATTGGATAAGTTAATCCCGTCCATCCGCCCCCAGGATCAGTGGCGTATCCAGACCTTGGCCGTATTAGGCATGAAACACTAAGATCTTAGTCTTAGTGAAACACCACCCCGTGTTTGGACTTAACTGACAGGCCTTTCATGCCACTGTTTGCTCTCACCATTTACTGGCATTGGTATCTTAACGGACGTACAAATCATGGGCACAAATCTAGTGAATTTCGATTTTTTTTTTGTTGTTGTTTGTTGTTGTTGTTGTTGTTGTTGCTGATAATTCAATATTGAAGGAAAAAATATCATAAGATCACAATAGTGAGGGAAAACACGTGGCATGAACAGCCTGCCATAGTTAAGTCCAACTTAAAGTCAATATTTTAGTCTTGTGAAACACTCCTGTGAATTTGAATGCATACTGTTCAGAACGGGGGTACCCCCCCAAAAAAAAAAACACATTATAAAACGAATTCAAAATAGTACTCATTTACTACCGAGCAGTAGGTTTCTTTGTGTGAAAAATGTGTATAATAATAAAACTTACCAATGATTCGGGCCACCCGCCCCCCCCCACCCCCACCACCCCCCCTCCCCGGGATCGCCGCCCCGGAAAGGCATACACATCCCTACCAGTCGCTGATGTAATATGACAATTCAGTTTTGGTTGTTTAAGTGGGGCAAACTACTTTAAAGTGTAAGTACACAAATTAAGGGTTTTCTAATAAGCAGAACATAAACAATTCTTCAAAATTTTAGATTGGATGACTATCCTGCTGAAAAAATATATTATGGAAATACTTGGAAGTTCATTTTTCTAGTAAAACCAGTGGTGGAAAGAAAAAGAGAGAAAGAGAAAGGAAGGGGGAAAACATTAGAAAAGAAGACACCAAGCCACATGTACCGCATCCCATCACCCACGAGTATCCTCTCATTATAGACTGCAGCCCCGCCCCCCCCCCCCCCCCTTCATCGTCAAGTGCCCCTTAGCGTATAGACCGTATAGACCCACGCTACGCCACTGCTTATATGTTTAAAAAAGGATAAACGAGTCTCATATATTATTTTATAAGACCTGAGTGCTTATATTCAGAAATTCCTGTATATTTCACACATATTTTTTGGTCATTTTGAGGATTGTACATAAGTATACTGTAGTCAACTTGGAAATTTTCACTTGCTCTTTTCGCACATACGCGCGCAAGTCAATTCTGCGAGTGCACGCCCGCCCTCTCATTGAAATTGAACGTGTACGTTCATGATTATTGCGTACGTACGTGCGCGCGTACGTATGCAATTACAAATTACACGTACAGAATATACTACATGTTCTCTATACACGACAGGTGCCGTTTTCCCCGCTAGCATCGGCAAGACCAACCCACCTTTTCTGAGGACATTTTTGGATATAATTACTCTACACTACACACATCTAAACTCCAAGAGTGTTCTTGATTTGTTTCCACCTAGGACCTAATATTTAACTTGTTCTCTTCCAGCATGTCTGGACGACAAAGCGTTGTGGATCGCATGCAGGCGGCCCGTCATACGATATCGGGATCAGACCTGGCGAAGTCGGTATGCAAAGCCACGACTGAGGAGATGATGGGACCGAAGAAAAAACACTTGGATTGTGAGTATCTAGCATGTCTATTTGAAGCATAATTTAACCAATACATTTCATTACGAATATGAGAGTACCTATGTTGTGGTAAAGTAGGTATCCAGTCGTTAATTTGTATGCAAGGATTGCTGAGACAAATGATTAATTAAAGTACAGAGTCGAGTGACTGGGACTCAGTGAGTGGGAGTGAGAATGAGATGGTTTGCAAATTGCATCATTGTCATTGATTTCACTGATTGTGATTATGCTGTTAATTAATCACATTTATTAAACTAAAGTGTGGCAAACTTGCAGAGAGTACACATCTGTTAATGTTGTAGTAGGAGACTAGGAGTCAAATGAGTTAAAAAATAAAGAGTTTTAAAACATTTAAAATTATTTTTCAAGCCATGGCATGGCATTGGCATTTGCTTTACTTAGACTCTCTAGACCTATTTGTGTACAAAAATATTTGCACATTGCATTGCTAGTCTACTTATTTTGTTTGTTTCCACAGAAGACCTGAAAACAGTGAAAAGTAACACAATCTCGACCCAGAATATAATTCACTGGAACTTTATATTGGCATGTTTTCTGCAGAAATGTATTTTACCATTTGAACATGGACTTACAACATGTACTGTACATGTACACAGGTCGTAAATCATTGGTTACCATTAGATTCTAAGTAATGGTATAACCGCAAATTATATTTACGACTTGTGTAAGTAGTAATCACAAATTAAACTGAGTATAATGACTTGTTAAGTCCATGTTCTCCAGACATCTAATTTACAGTGTACTACAGTACATGAGATGTCTTGAAAAGGGGGATTGAGTGGGTGTGGCATTGAAAGAAACATTATCCATGTAGTCCTGGCAGCAGTGGAAAGTAGTGAGTGGAACAAAACAAAAAATAATATTTTGAAATCTTGTGGAAAGTGGAAACAGGTGGTGTTGTGAAATATGGATGGATTACGCTATGTACATCTATTCATCTTAATCATATATCTTTAATTGTGAATATTCAGGGGGCGTTGAATGAATGTGGGTACATGTAGATCCTATCATCTTCCCATGCTGTGATGCTGAGTGATATATCTGATGTAAAAAAAAGTCTACCGGTATTCATCTTTTCAAAACATGGGATTTTGTAAAATGTTTAAACATACAAACATGCACCTTCTCCCTGATATTTACATTACACCTTACAACAACAATATAAATATGCGATGGGGGATTCCCCTTACTGGTTCATGTATCATTTGCAATCTTGACATTCAAAATTAACTTTCTTATTTTCCTTGACATTGACATTGTTTTTTCTTCACTTACCGGTTTCCATTTTTTTTCTTTCTGCTCTTATCTAAGCCAATTGAATAGGAAGGTTTAATAGTTATGTGCTATTCTGATCATGCCTGTGACATGTGCAAGCAGCAGGGGGTGACTGTCATTGTTATAATTAATGACTGTTAAGGTCAGGGGTCGTACTTATCAGGATATCATGATCTCATCCTGCAGAGAGAAGTAAATTGCTACTCTGCAATATTCCAAGTATTCCCAGGATATTCACTCTTATAATTCACCTGATCTATATTTCAAACGATATCCCGGAAGACAGAAGTTCAACTACATGTACAATCTACAAATGAACATGTACATGTATTGCACTCCCCTTGACATCTGTGGTCTAGACATGGGTTTTTGATGGACACAAAAAGAAGATCTTTTTTCATTCTACAACATATCTGAGTTCTTTGAAATGTGTCTGGGGTGTACATTTACACTATTTATTTGGAATTACATAAATTACATGTCCATATCTACATGTTCATGTACAATGTACATGTACATGTAAGTTTGTATGGAGTCATTTGAGTGGTACTGGTACTGATAAATCACAATGAGGGCACAGGTCAGTACCGCGTTTGTGGGAGGGGGTGGGGGTCTTCATCTTTCTTTTAAAGTGTGAGTTTTTTTTAATTTGCTTTTACCAGAGCTGTAAATTGATCTTTTCACTGCTAAATTCTCTCTGCTCCATGTAAGAGCATGTATGGATGTACAGTATATGTACAGTACATACCCAAGTAATGTACATGTACATGTACATGTACAAATCCACAGTAGTAATTCTTTACAATAATAGTGCTCAGTAAACTTTATTAATGGTGAGTCATTTTTAAATATTATTTTATGAATGATGACTTACATGATTGTAGATGATTGAATCATTCCATTGAACTGCTATCGCTGACTGGAAGGATTTTGTTTATTCAACCGTCTTCGACTCTTCATCCATTCAGAATTGAGTGCATTGAGCTGTAACATTCAGCATGTGTTCATGTGTGTGATTCATTTGTGAGTACAACAAGTGAATGGGAATTTAATGTGCACCAGAGTGGAGGTCAAAGCTTCTGTATTGGGCCACTTCAAACTCATCAAGTACCAGTGGCAGTATGTGAATCTTCCTAAATCCCATGTACATGTACATGAAATCAGTAAAAGATTACCAGCAAAAGGAGCATTGAGTGATTTGGTCCTAGAAAGTTCAAACAGAGCCACATGTACATTACCAATAATATGGAAAAAGAATATCGATGACATTCACATTACTTGTACATTGTACACTGTACATGAACAGTATATACAGTACCTTGGGATTTTTTCTTTTCAAGAATTCAAGAAGAGGGTTGCTTGTCCTACATGTACATGTACACTGTACAGTAAACATGTACATGTACGTACATGTATTAAAGGTAAAGACCAGTTACATGTATGGTCATGCGATTGCATTGTGAAAGAAACGCTGTGGAATCGATCAGAAAAGGTTGATCATCTACATGTAGCATCTAGCATAGATCTGCAAGGTTCTGGAATCATCAAAATGATAAGAAATTTGGCCCATTCTTCGTAAAGTTACAAGCACTATACACAGAAAGATGTATATGGGACTACCCTATATCTCTCACAGACCATGAGAGAAACAAATTTACCAAATATATGAATTATTAGGCGGTTTCCCGGCAAATTTTTCATCATCATGTATTAGTCAAAACATATTCTTTCACATGATTGGTAATGAGAGCTTCTATTTCATTTTTTGAAATTGGGGCGTTTCCAATACTGGTCTTTACCTTTAAACCCAATGTTACATTTTAGCTACATGTACATAACACATGTACATGTACATGTTTCAAGTAGGCTTAGTTTCAAGTTACTGTTACTGTGTGTATTTCTAAAAAGTCAGAATACATGTACATGTATGAATTAGCAGTTCAGGGAAAAAGAAATACTCGGGGGCTACTTTCAAGCTTGCTTGCATGAAAATAACACTCTTTATTTAGCAGTTGTTCTGTTTGACAAACTTTTGGTCATAATAGTGTACTTGTAAAGTAATGGAAGAACTTTGGTGAGGAAAAGACCAATTAGTCGACAACCACCCACTCTTTTCAGCTGTCGCGTATATCAGAAGATACAATGTACATGTACATTATATACAGTACTTTATATTTTTAGGGTATAATTCTTTTCTTCACGGATTTCCTTAAACTGAAAAGCGGAGAATGAAATTATTTTTGAATAGATGCACAAATTTTTACTGCATTTTTATGTACAGTGTACATGTGTATTGACAATGTAGTCGATGTAGATATAGTAATTGTACATGTATATTGAGGACTTGATTTCCATAGTAGTTAATTCACGCACCGCAATGATGTGACGTGCTTCCTATAGTGCTTACCCTATCATGTGACTCACCTGACTCTCGGAGTGACATCATCACACCCCCTTCCTCGAGACAGACGTCATGTCAGCAGCCGTGAGAGGAACTTGATCTTTAAGGGATTATCTGAGAAGACACCGTGTAATAACAGTAAACACAGGAAGCACCCATGGATGCTCAAAACTGAACTGCACCCACACAAAAAACGAACAGCACTTAGTACATGTAAAAGTACATACACTGTACATGGACTACAGTGTATGAACAGTACTTTTGTTGGGCCTACGTACATGTACATGTATAGCGTGTACATGCTTTGTTTTCATTTAAAAAACAAAAAAATAAACTAAACCAATCAAATTTCCCAATGCCAATCAATTGACATAAATAGAAATCATTGAAGATACATCCAGGTTTCTAATACTTTTACTTTTTTGTTTGATTTCTTTCCCAATCACCTTGAAAGTGTTTTGGGGGTGATTTCAACCTTCACCTTGACCGTGAACGGACAAGGTGATTTGTGTGCTGTGTCTTCAAGAAGGCTTATGACCAAGGTTGGGTACCGGGTATTCTGTTTTCAACGGACTGACTTCTCTGCTGACTCAGTTGCTTTAAACCTGTCGAAGACAAACTACATTTACAGTTTGTACATGTACATTTACTTAATAGTGAGAACTGACAGTGAATTAGCTACAGTGAATGTTGTCTGTAAAAATATTCTAATGTGCGTACAGTACTGTACACACAAGTTATTCAAAACCCAGGTACATTATGAACGATTCACTGTACGTGAATATTGTAGTCATAGAGATGTGAGTTCTCCTTGTTACTTTTTTTTTTGTAAATACAGTCGTGAATAATGCATCCTTTTTATGCACACATTGAAAGCAGACAAACGAACATTGACTGCCCTCAATGTAATTTCCTCTTAGTCCCAGGTTTCCCCTGTCGCTATGACTCACTACTCCTGGCTGTGTGACTGTCAAACCCATTCCTACTTTTGGCACACATACTCAAGGATAGCATTCTATAGAAGGAGATAATGGGAGGATGAACTCCGATGAAGTCATCTCGTGATCGCAGTAACCTAAAAACAGTGATCTCCTTTTTTCTTTCTTTGGTGATCGGTGAAAAAGAACATGGCTGGGTCACCGATAGACCTGATTGATTTAGCTCTCAAAAGCTCCGGAAGTGCTCTGGTAAATTGAAAAAATGCTCCAGTAAAAAACAATCAAAAACTTAAATACCAGTGTGACATACTTATAATCGCACTTACATACTGTACACCAAATCCTAAGAGAGCCCAGGGTGCAAACAGAAAAGTCGTTTTTTTTTACACTGACATACACTGTACACGGCAGGATGAGCGATAGGCCTGAGCGATTCAGCTCTCAAAAGCTCCAAAAGTGCTCGGGGTAAGAAAACAATCAAAAACTTAAATATCAGTGTGATGTACTTATAATCGCACTTTACTGTATATTTATTATGTACACTGACATACATATTGTATTCATGTACTGTACATGCAGCATTGCAGCACAGTGCATGCATACTGCAGTACTTTTCAAACGACTGCCACTGCAAGCTCGATCATCCTGGCTAACCTGCATGATTCATACATTAAATCATTAAAAAAATGATGTCAAGAGGATAGGAAACTTCCATCTGAGCACTTCAATACAGTGCAGAAGCTCGTCTGCTGTGGAAAAATTTGAATGAAATAACCAGCTGTCTGTGTGTCACAGCACGCACCCCCTCAAAGGTCACAATAGGGTCGATATTCGGAGCAAGGTGACCCCCATGGAAAGCTCATGAGTGGGTGTGTTTGGGGGTTCAAATCACCGCTGAACACGCCATGTGGCAGTTGCATTTTTCTCCGTAAAAATACCTTTCAGTAATGAAATTTTACCTAGACAAGGAACAAAATGGAACATGAACAGTACCTGTGCTGCTGTGCACAACAGTGTAATGAGGTACCCGAGTATACTCCCATGCTTACAAGCGAATACTCGAGTATTCGGACGCCATGTTTTTTTTTGATTTTTTTTTTTTTTTCTGAATTTTTTTGAATTTTTTTTTTTTTGAATTTTTTTTTTTTTTTTTTTTTTTTTTGCCACCACCATACATACCACTGCCGTAAAGTAATTTGGCGACAATAGTCAAATCACTGACTAATCGCCAATAACTCAAAACACAACAACAACTGGAGCAGTATCCAAGTTCTGTCGCCGAAAACGCATGCAATTTTACTTTGAGTTGCAGTTGAGGGCGCCGATTTAATCATAATAATAACAGTGAACAATGCTGTTTTAAAAACCAAAGATGGCAGAATAATCCATTTTCCTCCAAGTCCAAGCAGAAATCCAGACATTTGGTCCCAGTTTCTGAGTGGTGAGTTTGACAGTGCTTGAGTTGGGAAACATTTTTACCGACGGCACCATGCCAGCGGCCGCCGCTCACCCAGGCACTGGTAAGCGTCGGCCTGGACATTTAATTTTTTTTTTTTTTTTTTTTTTTTTTTTTTTTTTTTTTTTTTTTTTTTTTTTTTTGCGGCCGAATATTCGGGTACGAGAAATCGTACCCGAGTAGTTGTCAACCGTGCGGGTACTCGAGCATTCGACTACCCTGCACAGCCTTAACCTGTGCATGTCAACAAAATGCATGCTGGAGATATCCACAAAACAATGCTCAATGTACATGTATAGGAGTAGGATTCCATTGAATGTGGTACATGTAGGCCCTCTAATGTTATGATGTTTATGTACAGTCATAACCAATCATGAATGCTTTGACATTTCAGTGTTTCCAAAAATACATTTATTGTCATGCTTTATGTACACAAGCCTTCATGTCTGTAGACATTTATCGCTGAAACTCTTGAATAATTGAATCTCAAATTTTCTGAAGTTATTTTCTGCAATACAGTGTACACGTTTTTTTTTTTTTTGGGGGGGGGGGCCTTCAAATTTACATGTACATGTACATACAGTAGGCCTAAATGTACAGTAATTTAGGCCTGATTAAGTAGTACACTAATTCCAGAAATTTAGGATTTTTATTTTTAAAAACAAGCAAATGAATGGTCATCAATCACTCTTGCAATTTGTATATTTCTGGTTACTGGTGCCCTTTGGTATTAGGCATTATTCCTCATTACTATTAGTCCCTCATTAAGTCTGAGTCATTACCAAGTCCCTCGGAGAGGACTTAAAGCCGCCGGTCCCCTGGTTGTTTTGTTTACAAGCTTTCTTACATGTATCAGTCTGGTAAAACAATAATGAACCAACCAACCAAATTTATTTTGACTTTCGTGCACCACATTTACATTGTACACGTACATGAACATGTAGACTGACACTCTACAGTTAGTGTCCCACACACGTTTACATTTCAGATTTGAAGGAGACTTGTGGTGGCTAAACTGTACCTTTTATACGCTTTGTCTGTCTGTGTACTCATTGTCCACTACAGTGAAGGACATATTGAGAGTCAGTGACAGAAACAGGCATTTCCGTAAGGGGCGTGTGGTGGTATTTTGAAGCACTTTTAGGCTCTGCTGTGGGTTCAGTATTGTCTTTCCAAAGAGTCCACATACAAGTATTTACTTGCATACATGTACATGTACATGTACCTCTAAAACAAAATATGTTTACGAATGATAAAAAAAATATAAAACCATATATATTTTTCATTTTGTACTTCAGTTTACATGTACATGATGTCATACAGTACTATGAACACTGAGACAATGTCCATTGCCCAAACTGATGTTCATGATGATATGAATGTAAACAACAGAAATACTGATTCCCCGTAACACAAAGAAGTTTAATTTTTTATTGCTATTTTGCATGGTCTCTATAGCTATTATGACCAGTCAATCGAATATACAATCAACTGCTATGAAGCGTTGAGTTGTGGGCCCCGGGTTTTGCTAACCAGGTATTTAAATTCACACATGAAAATTTACGCACAAACATGTACACTGTACCTGTACTGTACTGTACATAATTTTTTATTACAGTTCACATGTTCCACTTCTTCGGGAGTATACATGAAGTTGTACACCTGTACATGTACTCACTTGGCTGTGTTGACAACAATTTAGCCAGGATTTGAAATACATGTAGAAGAATTTTGATTGTGATAATTCTTTATTCATACAGTTGTAATTAAAGTTAAATGTATTCAGTTCAACTCACTTTGAGATGGATCAGAATGACTACGGTATTAAACTCCCTGCTGCTGTTGCTTTGGAAGCTATTAATAAACCTGTTCACATTAAGGGATATTAACTGGTAGGCAACTTTCAGACTAGAACAAAAAAAATCTTATCATACTGCATACCTTGTACAATACATTGTAACTACTGTACATGCACATGTATACAGATTGTTAGTAGTCTGAACTAGATGTTTAGTCAAAGAAGGATGTTTCTCATTGATAGTGAGATAGTGTAAACACCTTCTCAAACATGTGCTAATGCATCATCCTACATGTACAATGTAGCTACAAAGATCTGCATGCATAAAAGACAGGATGCCTAGCCAGGATATCCTCCCATAAATTATCACATACTTTTACAATCCAGGCAATTCATCAAAGAGTAAACTTTAATAAGTGAGACTGAGAAGTAACAATATTGTAATCACATGATTTGAGGGGGCGTGTTAGAGTTGGTTGTGCAGGGACTGGGAATGAATGGGTACGGTACTTGTAGTAGGATTACTGTACAAGCTCTGATACAAGTAATATACATGTATTTACATGTACAGTTTAGGTACATGTACATGTACGTTAGTATCATTCAGTAAATTATGGAAGAGCAAATTTAGAAAGCACATTATAAAAAAATGACATCAAATGGTTGCATGGATTTTTTTTCTACTTCAAATCAAGCAAACTCTCCAAAAGCTCCGGTTCACAAAATACATGTACAGTACCTCCTTTTTTTTATTGCACTTAATACACTATTAAACATGTAGACATACACTGTATTGTACTGGTGTACTGTACCTGTATAGTTGTAAGAATAATTGACACCCCTCACACATTCTAACTTTTTATGACAAGTACTCCATCTATCCATTAAAAAGAAAATGTTGGTATGAATGTTCAGTCTAATTTACACCATGTACAGGGTAGTGTAAGACTTACAAATGATCCAGCCTTTATCCAACCTGCATTATCTCATCACATTAAAAACAAAGAATAACCTTGTTCATGTTCTGCTGATGCGTGATAGTGAATTCCTACCTTGAAACATCCATACATCAATGTCAAGCATGCCCTCTGATGCCATCGTTTATCAGCATCAAATGTGCCAGCCAGATGCTCATTACAGTCTACATGTGCTCTTACCATTATCATTTTGGGAAGTTTTCTTTCGTCAGAAGAATGATTTGGTAAACAGTACAATTTTATCTGCGAAAAGACTATTAAACTCTCACTATTTTTTAATTTTTATATATTAAACATTACATGTACATGTACGTTCATATCTGTTTTTAGCACTCCTACATGTAAATACCGGTAATGGATATTTATTATAAAAAGGCATTTTGTGCATTTGCTAGTTTTGTATGATACCGTAGGTAAATTCCAAAAAGCAAAATATAAAGCAGTACATGTACATGTAGTAATTTTTTTAGCTAAACCAAAGCCAAGACCTGTCAGTCCTCTGTTTGAAAAGATTCTTGTTGAATGAGATCAGACTAGCCCCTGCTGATTTTCACAGAAAGTGTCCCCAAATGACTGAATTTCCACTTATGAAAAGTTTCAATACCATTGATTGACCACCCAATGAACCCTATTGTGTGGACTGAGCCTGACCAAGAAGTTGACCAGAGACATGTCCCCTGGTCCAACCTTCACAGGTTGAAGTAGTTTTCTTACATTTTTTTTTCTACAGGAAAAAGCACAGCGTGCTATACAAGTACCGGTATTCTTTATTTTTAAAATAAACGTATATAAAAAGGGTCAAAGCAACTACCACCATCCGTTTCTGATTTCCCTACAAATGTCACATCCTCAGTTCTGTGCTTTTAAATCTAACCTTGAAATAGTCAAGGGTGTTCAGAGAATGACAATTTTAGAATGTTCCAGCAATGATGATTAAGTATAAGTATGATAAGTAGAAAAAGAAAAAAGAAGAGAAATAAAAACAATAAAACAATAGAAATTGCTGTGTATGGACCCCACATTTTTGGAGAAAATTCAAACAGAGCTTTTAATGTAAAGGATTATTTTTTCACTACTTTGAGGTCTGGTAATGTTTGTTCCCCCCCCCCCCCCCCCTCTCTAGATATTTCACGAAATGTACATGAACAATGTATCGAAAGTCAGACGTCATGTGTCAGCATGATTCATAGGTTAGTCATAAAAATAGTTATTATTATTTTGTAGGAGAATCCAAGAACGTGGGACATGAAAGGTCGAGGGAGAGTCTCACAGGTGTGCTATAGACTTGGTCTGGTGTTCCAGACTGTAAATTTATATATTGACAAGATGTTTTACAGGGATTGTTTTAACAAAAAATTGAGTCAATGAAAAATTAATAAATAAAATGAATAAAATAACTAATAACTCACCAGTGGATAATATGAAATTTTGCTGTTTTATTATTTATTTCAAAGCTTTACTTGTACAGTGCACACCGGCATTTAAATTATAATGAAGGCCTATAAATATAATATCATTTTAACATTCATATTGCTGTTCCCTACTTGAACAAGATACCTAGGAAGAAGCATGCATGATCCTTGATGCATTACGAAAATGTGCAATGAAATTCTTTGGAAAAAAGAACAAGATGTTTTAAGTTATTGCACACAGAGTACATGTACAGGTAGAACTACAAATGTTCTTCATGTACAATGTACATGCATATGATAATGAGTTGATGTACAGTACATTTACGGTATTAAAGTCTGCTGGTGAGACAAATTACTTGACCTCCAGCGAACTTTGGAAAAAGGTGTGGGTAGAATGTGGAATACACGTACATTTTTGTATATACTGTACATAAATAAAGATATGGAGAAAGAAAAGAGGAGAGATGCATATAACATGAGGAAAAGAGATTTAAAAAAAAGTTTAACATTAGACAGGTAATTGATGACCTTAATACATTGCACCAGTTTGGTTGAGTGTACAATGTATGAGGATTGTCAACAATTTAAAGTCTTGTTGAAAATCCAGGTCGTTAATGATGGTACATGTACTGTACATGATAATATTTTTAAACAGTTACAGCGAACATGTTCCCTTGTTCACATGTAACTTTTGTTACTTTATGTTTGATCTTGCTCATTTAAAAATAAATGCACAGTGAGTATTTATTGCGAAAATATAAGGAATGACTAATCTTTAATACAGCAAAAGAGCTGCAAATTGAAAGATGTGAAAGTGAATTTGTAGTTTGGAACTACAAGTTCATCTCTAGATCCTAAAAAATTGTAAGTGATATAAATTTATCAGTACAAATAATAAAAGTGTCTGAAAGTGTAATTGTATATAAAAAAAAGAAGCTAATCAGCTTTCCCATAATACCATCATCGCATTGTTTACAGCTTTAATAAATAGGACTCAAAGCCTGAACGTCACAATTCAAAAGTATGCACTGTTACACATACATGTACGCGTTAGTGCCACACCGTACTAATGCAATGTCATTACATCCAGCCACTGCATGCACAAGCTATCCCACCCTCATGCAGTGCTCTATCCGGGATCATTAACATATCGTCTGCAGTAGCCATGGCACTCTCTATTTACCGAAAATGTATTGCACCGGCAGCACCGCAGCTAGAAATGGATAGATGCGGGGTGTAGCAGAGGGCTACATGTATGATGATTGAACGCAAGTGCCTCAGAGAACAAACAGCAGTAATTGAAAAACAGAATTGTTACTTTCCCATTGATATTGTTCAAATATATATTCGTGCTGGTAATATTATTGGGTTGGGAAATGAAATAATGGATGGATGCCAAGTTATTGCTTGGTTTATTTCTCGTGTAATCAATCAATTACCTCACAAAATTCAGCCTTGCCTTTTGTTGTAGTGTTGATTATGAAAAGTTAATGATTAGGAGGTGGATGGTGGCAAGAAATTTCCATTAGTAAATTTCCAGCCTTTGAAATCCTGTGCTGGAAATTAATGTGTTTGTTGTACAAATGGAGCATCAGTGTTTAATGTGAACGTGAAAACTTTCAAATTGGCATTGTGTGTGTAGTCCATTGCAAAAAACTGAAAAAAGAGTTTAATTTTGATGTATTTCCTGCAATATCTGGTGTAATTACATTTTTTTGTTGCATAATATATTTATACAAAAACATAACAGTTATTACAAGAAAGAGACCTATACATGTATGTACATGTAAGTTTTCTCAATTCAAAGAACAAACAAAAACAAAAACAAATATTCTAAAAATCCTTTCAGAAGTCTTGTCATCCTTGAGAAGGAAAATCCATGCAGTTTATTACATTTCATGTGAATGTACATTGTACATGTATTAAAAGAAATTGTCACTCTCCTGAAGACGATCCAAGCTTTCTGATCGAAATGTCAAAAAGCAATTCTTATTCCTTTGACAAAATTACGTGGTGTAGTAACCCAGAAAGCTTTATTTTAAACTAATAATGCTTAATGTTTTAATTTTCCATTTTTATTTCTTGTCTTATAGATCTACTGCAGTGCACTGCTGCAGAACATATCAGCATTCCAGACCTAGCAGACCAGATTGTACATAGATCAACCAATGGCAACTGGGTCGTCGTTTTCAAAACGTTAATAACAACACACCAACTCATGGTCTATGGCAATGATGTAAGTATGATCAATTGTTATGCTACTCCACAGATTGCTTAAACTTATATAGGGGAAGTCTAATATTCAGTTGGTTTTAAAAGATCAACCAATGTGAACTGGGTCATCGTTTTTAAAATGTTAATAACCACACACCTACTCATGGTGCATGGCAACGATGTAAGTATGGTCATTATCGATGCTACTCCATAGATTGCTTATAATTAAAGGGGAAGTCCATCCTAATGTTATAAAGTTGGTTTGAAAAGATCAACTAGATTAACCAATGGGAACTTGGTCATCGTTTTCAAAACCTTAATAAAACTTAATAACCACACACCAACTCATGGTGCAATGGATGCTATTCCATAGACTGCTCAGTGGTAGAGCAGTGGTCTCATAACCGGGAGTTCCCGGGTTTGGTAAGGCATTAATCCTTATTATTACCAAGTACCTCAGAGAGGTCTTAAAGTCGTCTGGCCCTTGTTGCTAATAGTTACAAGCATACACACGCTTTCTTAGCAGTCAGGTTAAATAAATAAACAAACTAACCTAAATAAAAAATAAAACAACAAAACAACAATAACAAATACAGTGTACATGTAATTTAAACCTTCATTGTGAAATAGTCAGTGCATTATTGCGAAGGCATCATCTTTTGAGAGCTAGAAAGAATTAACTCACATCATATTTCATAGAGTAAAGTCAGTAAACGCCCTTCTGCCTTTCAGCAGGCAACTTGATTGTCCTTGCCTTCAATTTGAGAGGCATTTTGTAAGGGTTGACAACAGGATCTCTGCCACTTGGACATTTGTTTATTTATTTATTTATACAATGTACATGGATTGCTTCTGATGGGTATTGGGGCTCTAGAACAGGACAAGGAAACCTGTCGGGCGTTTGACATTTTGAAAGACATCTGTACTTTATTTCTTGTCCCTCGTCTTCCCATTTTTCCTTGAGACTCCCTCTCATCTCAGCCAATCGACCTGACCTTTGCTTTGTTTACAGGCCCAGAATCTGGTGGTTGCAATTAAGATTTGTCCTGACTCAAATACATACATGTACATTGTACATGAACTCCTTCACTACAGGAACTGAGAATATAAACAATGTTTTGTCTTTATTATAGACCGGTCACATGTACATTGCAGATGATTATCATGATGAATGGGTGGTCACATGTAGATGATTATTATGATAAATGGGTATACACTGTACACAAAATGTTTTTTATGCTGATTTTGCTGAGTCTTATGACATATGTACATGTAATTTATCATCTTTTCTAAATGTTTGCTTTCCGTCATTTCTGCCCCTATTCTTTGAGAAAATACCCCGTACAAGAATTTTTCCCCTTTGTTATTCCTCTACAATAGATATTAATATTCAATTTTTTTTTCAAATCAAATTTCTTTTTTTTTCTTCCAATATTAGTTGAATTTGAAATTGAATTTTGAAATTGAAATTTGAAATTGAAATTGAAATTTATATTAATATATTTTTGAATAAAGAGAATCTTAAAATAAACCATCATATGTTTTTATATTGCTTGTGTTCTTGCAGCGCTTCATGTGGAATCTAGCAACGAGAGCCAGTGTTTTCAGTTTGGATGATTTCACAGACAAAACAAATGTGCAAGGTCAGTTCAAATTTCTTCCTTTTGTTTGATTCATACAGAATTATACATCAAATATGATCTATTTACAAATAATTATCTTAATGATGATGATCATCATCATCATCAACTTCAGATGGCGCTGTAAAGCGCTGCTGTGGTCTTCACGAGAGCACGCCATGCATCTCTTTCACCTGCCATTTGTGTTGCACCTTTCATTCTTTGTCCAGACACTTTCTTGATATCATCAACCTGTATATTTAAGGCTCCTAGCTTACAAAAAAGAATCCTTCCATGAAAGTTTGGAAGAATAAACCATAAATCAAGTCTTCTTGCATGCACTGTACATATCTAAACTATCTTCTTTTTTCTCCTTTTTTTATTACTAATTTCCAAATACATCATTGTCCGACAATTGGTCTGATTTTGGTCAATCTTCAAACAATATTCCCGTTTGAGGATATCATACTTCTAATACTTGGGTGCCAGTAAGCTAGGAGCCTTACATGTACCGTAAATCTCCGTGTATAAGTCGCACTTTTTTGCCGCCGAAAAAAATTGCAAGTCGGGGGTGGGTCTTACACAGGTACAGAATTTTTTTTTAATTTTTTTTTTTTAGTTTCGATTGATGGCGCTATGCCTGGCAATGTCTCCTAGCTCAGTAATCAGTGTGTTGACTCACCTCTCGGAAACTACAACAACACTCAAATTTTTCTGTCATATTCGTTTGAAAGTTATCTTTTTAACAGATCTCAATAGGTAGTTTATAATAATAATTCCTCAATTTTTTTTTCTATAACAAATCGTGTACCACAAGGTTCTATCCTAGGTACTCCATTGTCAGAAATTTAGAGGATGCTATTCATATCATGCATGACTATTGATGTTTGGCATAGAACACAGTGCTTCTGCTATGTGATGTGATGAGGCTGGTGTGGGACACGTGGTATCATGAAGCCTTAGACTGTTGTTACTATTATTTGTGACAAGTTCACAACTTCAACTGCACCTCGATGTAAAATGAAGGTCCTTCCCCGCGTGGGTTTTCGGCAACAAAACAACAACAACAACAACAATTTTTTTTTTTTTTTTTTTTTTTTTTTTTTTTTTTCCCCCACCCCAAAATAAGGGTGGGCCTTATACACGGATATTTACGGTACATGTACAGGTTGAAGAAAAGTTAGCTTTAGAGTCAGGTATAATAATGAAGATCATGACTATATATGTAACTTACACTGTATAGTGCCAAATCCACCCTGTGGAGTGTCAAGGCGCATATCATGTTGTTACATCCTGGAATTATGGCAACCAGCAGGTTTTTTCATCAGGGAATACAAAAACATAACTGTAATCAATATCTTGATGAATTTTTAAAAGAAGTTATCCCTGTCATGTTGTACATCCAGAAGATCTTGTTTGTGATCACATCTAATAGCAATATATGCATTTGAAAGGCGACATTGAACATTGGAAATTAGTGATTTATGACAAAAAGAAAAGTGGAAGATAGAGAAAAGCTCAATGATACTGTCATTCATCATGAAATCTATTTGTTGGTTGTTGTTATTTAAATTTCTTTTAGAATTAAAGGGTAAAGTTTACAAATGAAAAGGGGCCTTTGGGCAGTTTGATTCATGTATTTATTCAGGTTTTGTCTGTTAATGCCATTTACAATCATTTTGGGCATGGCTTTACATTCAGACTTTCAGTACATAGTCTTCATGCTGGATTAGAGAAACTTACCTGTAAATCAGTAGCACCTTAATCTATCGTAATTAACGGTGTATTAACCCCACTTTTTTGCCGCCGAAGAAAATTCAAAGTCGGGGGTGCGTCTTATACTTTACATGGTACACCAAAAGAAAAAATGCCTGGCAATGTCTCCCAGCTCAGTAATCGGTGTGTTGACTCACCACTCGGAAACTAGAACAACACTCAAATTTGTCTGTCATCTTGGTTTGAAAGCAATCTTTCTGATAGATCTCATTATGTAGTTTATAATAATAATTCCTCCAATTTTTCTTCTATTACATAGCGTACCACAAGGTTCTATCCTAGGTCCTCTACTGTTTTTAAATTTACATAATTGATCTTACACATTTAACTGCACCTCGCAGTTAAATGAAAGGCCTTCCCGCGTGGGTTTTTTAACACGGACCTGGCTTGCAAAAAAAAAAAATATGTATATTTTTTTTTAAGGGTGAAAAAGAGGGGGGCGGTTTATACACTGTTAATTACGGTATGTTCATATAATGTGATATAAATTCCAATTCCTTCTAAAGGACAATCCAATTCTTGGTAGTATGTTGTATTTAAGGAGGGCAGAAAATTGAACAGATTTGTGAACCTTAAAATGGAATCAAAAGGGTGTTAAGTCTGTTATTAAACCCATATCATTTTACTTTTTGTTGTACATTGCATATGTATCTTTAAAAAAAAATTGCTTTTGAAAGCGAGTAAATAAGTGAAATATTTGAAATAAAGAGTCAAAAACTGAATCGCATTGTAAGAAGTTTCACCTCTGGACAAGTGAATGTTATGTCTGCAGTGTAAAGGAACTCATGCGATTGTAAGCACACATGTACAGTACATGTAAATGTTTACTGTCTGCATTATTATGATTCAGGCCTACTGAAAGACCTTGATCGGCCGATAACAGAATGCAGCAAAGTAGATTAACAAATAAGAATATGATCAACATTTATAAAAACTTTAGTGTTAATTGAGGGGAATGCAGGGGTGTACACACGTGTAGATCTCTATGAAGCTGTAAGTACCTGTACTGTACTGTGCACGTACTGTATTAAAAAAGGTTAAAGTGCTCCCTGATATTAGAAGCAGTAGAATGAAAAGGAACAGGTCAGTGAAAGCTTGAGCAAAAGCCAACTAAAAATGAGAAAGGAATGAATTTTTGAAGTTGTGATCAATCAAACACAAATTGCCAACACTTTGACGTATCTTGCAAGCTCCTCTCCAATTTGCTCTGTAGGCCCTTCATGTACATAAAATTTCATCAACTTTCATTTCCTTTGTTATTGATTACACAATACATTTTTTCAATACCAGGGATGTGAAGAAACATATTTGGAAAAATTATAGTTAAGATGCATGCATGATTGAATTTAAAAAAAAGGAAATAACAACTACTGATATTTTTAGTACACAGCAAATGGGAGGGACCTTGCTATATATACGTCACAGATTTGCGAATTTGATTTTGAATGATCTCAACTTCAAAAATTCATAACTTTCTTATTTTGAAGAGGAATTTGCTCAATCTCTCACTGACCACCTGTTCCTCTCGTGTTTTGTGCTTCTATGAAAAACCAACTTAATACCAGGGACCAATGTGGACTACCCCTTTAATATCTGGTAGATTCTGCAAGAAGGAACAAATGATAGGAATCAAACCATTCACCCATATCAGTGAACGATGTGACCTTTTGATAGGTGAAATTGTATTCAAAATTAAATTCCTGCATATCTCCATTGATCACTCCGATCCTAGTACAATGGAAGTGGACTTTGGTTTGTGGGAGGTGACTTGCTGTAGAAATAGATAACTCAGCTTTTGTACTCTTTTGCAAGTTATTAACAAACTTTGAAATATATACCTACTTACCTAGATATTCATATTGGTCACATTTGAGGCACTGCCCTAGACACATACAGTATTAGTGCTACTGTATAATCTTTATTTGGTACACTATAACTTATTTGACAAATAAAAACATAAGCAGAGGAATAAATGGGGGCATGGAGAAGGGAAATTCTTAGTTTTATACACAGGCTAAACAATAAACATGATACATGTACAGTTGTAGATGTACTTGTGAATAACCTTACCATTTATTAGGAACTTTTAGTCCTACATTTTTGTGGAGAAAAAATATATTGAAATATGAAAGAAATTTCGAAGACACTTGTAGGCCTACATGTACATGTACATACACATGTTTCAAAGTGTGAATCCAATTTGATTTTTAAAAATATTAGCTTTACAGTTTATAAAGTCTCTTCATCTTGTAAGCCTGTATATTTCTCCATTTCAAGTCATGATGTGCGTGTAGTATTTGTCTAATACGTACATATACACATACATGTATACAGACAAGCAGCAATCTGTTGTAATCATTACCACTACAGGTTTCATTGATCATTCTTTATGTGCGGAAGGAATCTTGCTTCCACCCAGGAATGGATACGCGTCCGGAATTAGAATCTTACCTGGGATATGGAACAGGAAGGGAGAAAGGGTCACTTGCGTGCTACATAGGCCTGTCCTCATCAGCTCGAGTTTGCCAAACAACCCACTATTTTCAGACTTGGGTTATTATCCTGAAGCTCAAAATCGCGTCTTCCCCAGACCGATACGCTCATCATAAACTACAGTAGCTGTAGCTCAGACTGACTCAAATTAGCCAGCTATTTCCCAAATAGCAGGATATTTTGGAAACAAGACCAAACATTTCTCTGGATTTTTATCGACCAAATATCCAGCTAATTGCAACTGTGGGCTGATGAAGACGCAAATTAACTGGTTAATTTGTGATCAGTATAGTTGAAATAACGAGTTTTTCGGCAAGCTTGAGCTGATGAGGACAGTCATATTGTAACTCCAATGATGCATAGAACCTCTGCACAAAACTTTCCAAAAACTGTCTTTTATACCTGCATCCTCTGTGGTTGGAGTGGTCACTGTAAAGGCTCGTCGTGGTAAACTACCACAAAAAACATTTAACGTTCATTTCATCTGGGAAGTTTGCAACATGATTGTTTGTTGAGAAGCCCCCGCCCCCGCCCCCATTTGTAAATATAGACACATGATCCATCGTTGCTCATTCAAAATGTTATATTTAGTAATACTGTGCCTTTGTCTTTCCCCGTGACCAATAATGGTGTGGGTCAAAGCCCACAGCTTCCTGTTGTACTAGAGGGATATTGACTTTTACTAGGACCGATGAAACCTATATGAACAACTGAACGCTATTTAAGTATCTGCCACTTTGCGGCATGAATTCATT